ACCTTCCTAGAAGACCACCCCCCTCACGACTCCGCCGCGTTGTGGGCGCCGTCAAGAGTGACGAGCTGTCTAACCATGGCCCCCCCTCATCGGCGGTCGTTGCTTGGCAGACTGCCCGTCGGTGGTGTCGGGTGCTCATCGTCGTTAATGTGTTGTGCGCCGAATGTGTCGCGAGGCTGCGTCGAGCAGCGCTCCCAGACATCCTCATGCGAGACGAGGCTGATCTGGAACCAGCGCTGGTCGCGCTGGCCTGACGGTGCCAGTCGCGCCAGTCGGTTCTGGATCGGCCCCCTATGCCGCATGACCAATCACCAGCATCACGCGCCCGTAATGCGCAGCTGGCAGTGCCAGGGGCGCGCGGACGGGAGAGGAAGGGCGAGGGGAGGTGGTGCTCGGTAGGGGAGTATGTTTGGAATGCTCTAGAGATCGCCAGGGGTCTCCGGGGGCCTCCAAGGGCAGACCAATTGTCAAAGCAGTCATTCATATCCAACTTCGAGCCTGGATGCTTGTCGAGGGGATTAGAAGGAGGGCGGAAAAGGATGGGAGAGGCTCCATAGCAAGTTGCGCGCCGAGAGCCCGTCAAGCAACGCTAATCTCGGGAACGCGGCCCACGATCCGCCAAGACGTCGAGGTCGCCAATGGTCCTGGTCAAGATGATGATGACGAGGTTAAGCATGATTGTGTTAGAGATGATGATGGTGTGGATCGACGTCACCATCACCATCATCATCATATCATCCTCATCGGAGGAGGAGCAGGAGGAGCAAGAAGACAAAGAGGGATCATGAACGGTGAAAGTGGGAAGGGAGGATGAGTGGGGAAGACGGGATGGAAGGACGGCTTGGGACAAGGGTCGATCGGGCCCTCCTGGCTGCTCGCTCGGATGACGGACGGAGGTGGGCTCGCAGGCCTCCCCACAGCTTTGGCGCTCGGGACCTCCTGCCCCTCCCCCCATTATCCATCCTCCTCCCCCCCACCCTCCGTCCTGCAAAAGGGCAAAGCAGCGAGCGCATGCTGAACAACAGCTGGCGACCCGGTCCCTGGGCCCCTGGGGCCCCCGCCCCCAGGCCGCCGGGGCCTCCAGGACGGCCCCAGAGGACTCGAACGGGCCGCCAGGACGGACCCACGTGGCCAAAGAGGCTCCCAGATGGCCACAGGCTGGCCAGAAGGGACCCCAGGGCCCGCCAAAGGGCCCAGAGAGGCCGATTTTGTTGATTTGACAGAAGGAACCTGGCTCCAAGAGGCTTTCAAGATGGCCCCAAGAGGCCCAGATCCCTGGAAACCCAAGTGAAACCCGTAGTTGTTTATTTTCGCTGTTTCGCTCCCGATGGGCTTCTGAGGCTTCTGGACGGTCGTCACATGGCCCAAGCCTGCCCCAAGAGGAGCCTCACAAGGCCACAAGACAGCCCCAAAGTCGTCCCAGAGTCTCCCATGACGGCCCCCTCCTCCTCTTCCTCCTCTTCCTCCTCGTCCTCCTCCTCCTTCTCCCCCTCCTCCCCCTCCTCCTCCTCCTCCTCCAGAGACCTCCCAGAGTGCCCCCCCGGGCGGCTTCTGACTGCAGCCGGGCCAAGAGCGCCCCGGAGAAGCCCGAGGGGGCCTCAATTGGGCGTTGCGTAATGGGGGGGTCATAAATGGGGGGTTGGTGAGGGTGGTCCGAAAAGGTACCCAAACGGTACCTAAACGAGCCCCCTGGGGGTCCAGAGGGGCCCGAAAGGGGCACGAAAGGGGACCGTTTCTGACCCCCCCATTGATGACCCCCCCATCAAGCCACGCCCAACTCAAGACGGTCCACTGGGCTCCTCAGGACACTTCAAGATGGCCCCGAGACGGCCGAAGACGGCTTTACTATACGGCTCTCGAGGCCGCCAGGACGGCCCAACATGACCTCCAGACGGCCAAGACAGCTCAAGATGGCCCCCAGACAGCCTCAAGAAGCCTCCAAGAGGCTCCCAAGAGGCTCCCAAGAGGCTTAAAGGCCCCCCAAGCCCCCAGCTTTGGTTCAGCCTCCCATCCACCCTCCTGCAGAGGCATCTCGAGCCCAAGAAATATTTGCTGCACTGCAGGAGCTCTGACTGCAGCGTCTTTTCCTCGTTCCGATGGTCGTCCAGAATCATACGTTTCATCAGGCACAGGCCTCTCGAGTCCCAAAACACTCCGTTGCACCTCAGGTGCTCTAGGAACACCTGCTGTTCACCCCCGCAGGTCGGATGGTCGTGCGCCCTCCTACGAGTCCTGATGCAAGCGCCTCTGGAGTGCCATAGCATTTCGGAGCAAGTTTGCACAGGTGCGCTGGACTCCTTGTGAGGCACGGCCCGCATGAAGGGAGTGCAGAATGAACCGAATGTCCCCACGTGGCCGATCCGTGTGAGTCATGCGCTGGAATGGGCAGGGGGACGTCATACGAAGTTGCCCATTTGGCCACAGGTACGAGCTCCTTCTGGGGCAGCATACGTGGGAGGGGTGTGCCGATCTGCGCGGGGGGTACAGTGCAAACTGTGTCTCTGGGGCCGTAGGTAGTGCTCTGTGTGGGGCTCGATCCGTGTGAGGCGCGTGCCGGAAATGGCGGGGGCGTTTTTCAAAGGTTGTCTTTGCGGCCGTATATTAAATTCCCTGTGGGGCACGATATGTGAGAGGGTAGGCGTGGAGGCGGGATGCGAACCTTGTCTCTGGGGCTCAAAGAGGGTCCAAACGCACCAAAAGAGGCCCTTCACTACCAACATCGTCCCAAAGTGGTTGGTATTGTTCTACTTGTTGGTCCTCAGGTTTTCTCCGCCCAAATCGTGTTCCTGCTGTCTTTCATGCTGCGGAGGAGGACCAGATGATGGGGAGGGGGAGGAGCAGGTGGAGAGATTGGAGTTGGAGGTGGAGAAGGAAGATGATAGTGATGCTTATGACGAGAAAGGAGGCGGGATGACTGCGGCACGGAGGGTGAAGGGAGGGCTGAAAGATCAGGAGGAAGAAAAACACACAGACACAATTAATCGTCGATTCCGAAGAAAATATGGGAAAATATGGGAATTGGGCGGGAAGACAAAAACCCAGAAAATATAGGAATATATGGGGAATATTTTTAGTTGTGTGTATTTATTTGTGTGTCCCAGGGCCCCTTCAAAAGAGGAGTTAAGGATGTGCCGGCATGAAAAAGGAGGAGGATGACGAGATTCCCATCATGTCTTTCTGGGACGACTCATGCTGGAGTCATGTTGGTGTCCGTTTTGGGAGCGCACCCCCAACACGCCTCGAGCTCGGCGGCGAGCGAGGGGGGGAAGTGAGAGGTGGCGGGCCTTCTCAGAAGGCTCGGAAGTCCCTGGGGCTTCTGAGAAGTTTCCTGAGCCTTCACCGAAGACAAAAAAAAACTTCTCAGAAGGCGCGAGGGCTTCTCAGGAGTCCCGCCGCCTTCTGAGGAGGCCTTCTCCTTCTCACTCCCCCCCTCGCTCGCCACCGATGAGCACTTTCTGACGAGGCACGCGCGAAGAAGGAGGAGGCGTGGAGAAATGGGAGAGAGGCGGCCTGCGAGCTGGTGCTGTGTGCGCACGTTCTCCTCGCTCCACGTTCCTCCATCCTTCCTCACTCCATATGGGTGGGCGGAGGAGAACGAGAAAGAGAAAGAGAGAGAGAGGGAGAGATAGAGAGAGAGAGAGAGACACACACAGAGCAGGAAGGACGCAGGAGGCAGGAGAGACGAGCGAGAATGGAGGGACAGCGGGTTGAAGGGACGACTCAGAGGGAGGAGGATACAGAGAGGAGAGGAGACGGAACAGACATTGGGTTGGGCGAGTAACGGTAGGAGTGCGAATAAGATCTGCAATTGGTCGAAGCACTTGCAAGACAGACATGGCGATTTGCACATAACGTGCCGAGACGTTGGTTTGCGTTGCGCTAGAACTTCAGCGCGTGCTGAGCGCGCGTGGTTATATGAATCTATAGATGCGTCGATACACACCTTACATACATATGAGCGCCATACACATGAGCGATGGGCGAAAACGGGGCCGATTGCGCGGATATTCGGTGTGTATATATATGTATATATACATATATATACATATATGTACAAACATACATACATACATACATACATACATACATACATACCTACATACATACATACACACACATACATACCTACATACATACATACATACATACATACATACATACATACATACATACATACTTACATACACATACACATACACACATATATATATATATATGTACACACCTACACGCAGATGAACGATGGGAGAAAACGCGGTCGACTGCGCGGACATTCGGGCGTAAAAGCTTCCCGCGTAAGCCAGCGCGTAAGGTGGGGCGTACGCCGCGGCGGAAGGTCGCTCTACCTACCTGCGCGCGGTGTGCCATGCCTGCGGCCCGCGTGCGCCGCACCGTGTGGCCGCCACCTTCTCACGCACGAGCCGTTTCTCTTCGCCTCCCGTGGGTTGTCATGGCAGTGTAGCGATGTGTGAGCATCTCGGCCCTCGATCCCCGCCGTAGGTCGGCCCGGGCAGATGTGTTTTCCCTCCTTCCCCTGGAAGGCGCCAAGAGGGAAGTGAGGACAAAGGTTGTGTGAACATCATGGCCAGGGCCTTGCGATTTCCCCAGACCTCGTGGCACCCTCCTCTTCCTTCGGAGCGTCCCGTGGTCCCCCCTCTCGTCCGCGCAAATTCGGGGGTGGACAGAACCCCCAACAGTGACACGTCGATTAGTGACTTGTACGTTTTCGCGTTTCGAGAGGGCGCCGTGGCCGTTGTTTTCCAGGCCTGCGCCCCCCAGGCTTGGGCCTCAGGTCGTTTTCACTGAACCGCGTTTTGCTAAAAGGGGTGTCTGTCCATCCCCGACAGATGCCTCGGGCCATGCTTTGCGCCTCCCTCCGTGGACGCTCCCCTCCCTGGGCGCCCCCCCCCCGCCTCCGCGAGAAGCACGCGCGCTGGCAGCGCGGCCGGCGCGCCCTCGGCGGCGCGAGGGAGGGGGCCGCGGGGCCGCCCCGCGCGGAGGAGCGGCAGAACGTCGGCTACAACGGCGCCACCTTCGCGGGCTGACGCCGCGGGCGACCGCCTCCCCTCTCGGGGCCCTCGGGGCCGGCCGTCTCCCTCGCGCCTCCCCCACCCCCCTTTCTCCCGCCTCATCGTCCTGGCTCGCCATGCTCCGTCCTCTGCCTCCTCGTCGCGTGCTCCTCCCTCCCCGCCCTCCCTCCTCCCTGCTCGTCCTCCCTGCACTCCCCCCCCCCCTCCCGCCCGCGCCCTTCCTCTGCACACCCGCCTCGCCGCTCTCCTCCGCAGCATCCGCCTCCCCCCTGTCCTCGTCCTGGCCCTCGATCGCGCGATCGCGCTCGCGCGCGCGCGGAGACCTGCGGCCACCGAGCGTTGAGCGCTCATCGGCAAAACCTTCCCCCCGTCGGAAGCCCTCGCTGTCGGCGTCATCCCTGCTCTCAATCCCTCCCTCCCTCCCTCCCTACTCCCGAACTCAGCCATACCGCTGTTCGACGGCGACCCTCCTCCCCTGACTCCGCAGAGGTCCGACGATACACTTGTTGAACATCCTGCTGCTTTTCTTCGATTTCGGGCTCTCGGGCCCATTATCGGGCCCCAGGGCCAGAAATTTTTGATCCAGGACGGAAAACCATCCCCATAAAGCGGTCGGGGGATTTGGGGCCACGGGTTGAACAAATCATATCGGCGGATGTCAGGGCCCTTGGCGCCGTGAAGGAAAACACGACGGCACGCTGTCTCGGCGGCGAAATCCAAACCCCACCCTCGCCGATCAACGATTGAGACAACTCGATGAGCGGCGGGGACAGTGTTCGGGATTCGTCGAACATATGACGAAATCCGGATCTCACCCCCGCCTCCCATCGATCCAGGAGAATCGATGGTTGGTGGGGGTAGGGTACGGATGGTGCCACCCATGTTCGGCAATTGTCGGCCTCTGGGGCCCCAAACGTAAACGGGACCTCCCAAAAAGTAAACGGGGCCAGCCCAAGAGTAAGCCGGGCCACCCAAAGAAGTAAACAGGACCCCCCCAGAGAGTAGGCTGGACCACCCCAGACGCAAAGAGGATTTTTCAGAGAAGTAGACAGGACTTCCCAGCGGTAAACAGGACCTGCAGCGGCGCCTCCGGCGGCGCCAGCAGCCGCAGCAGTTGCGCCGCCAGCGGCGCCAGCAGCAGCTGCGCCGCCAGCAGCACCGCCAGAGTAAGCGGCAGCAGCGGCAGCAGCGGCAACGGCGCGCCAGGCGGCGAGCCTCGTGCTGCTGTGCAGCAGCTGACCGCGCGCTGCGCTGCATCAGCGTCGGCTTCGCCGGCGCGCCCTGCTGCGGCGCCCCCTTGGCCCTATCCGTGGTTTGCGTTGCCGGAGGCGGCCCCCCCGATGTCCGCCGCGGCAGCAGCGCCAGCACATGGTGCGCCGGCGGCAGCCACGCTAACGGCAGCAGCAACACTCGCCGCACCAGCGCGAGCCGCGCGAGCACTGGCCGCCGCGCCAGCCGCGACGCCTCCGACGGTCTCAGCCGCGCCAGCATCCGCTGCGCCGCCAGCACAGCCGCCGCGCCAGCAGCGGCACGCGCTGCTGCGCCAGCGACGAAGCCGCCGCCGGCCCCGCAGCAGCAGCAGCAGCAGCAGCAGCAGCAGCAGCAGCAACAGCAGCAACCGCCAGCAGCGGTGCGCGACGCGTCGGCCGGCTCTGGCGGCGGCGGCGACGACGACAGCAGCGCCGACGAGGGTCGCGGCGGGCCCGCGGACGTCGCCGACGAGGACCCGCCAGCGCAGCGCCGAAACACGCGCCGCCCTCGCAGCGTTTGGCCCCTCGGCGCCGATCCCGGTGCCTCTTGGCGCGGGAGAACACGCGTCTGTCGAGGTGGCGGGATTATTGTCTTGGGCGGCCGTCGCCCGTCTGGGCGGGGCCAGCAGAACGGAGCTCCGCGAAGTTGTCCGCGAACGCGAGAGACAGTGCTGGGCCTTGGACATGGGGCGCACCGCGGGTTCTGGCGCGCCTGTCGCGGGGTGGAGCGTGTGGGATGAGGGCCCTTCCTGGCATCGACTCGGGGCGCGGTTCGACGAGAACGCCGATCCCGTTCCAGACGCACGCGAGTTGCCAGTCGGGATCGGGAACAAGGGCGGCGTCAGCGTTGGGAGGTGCCTCGGGCGCTCATTTCCAGGAAGGCGGACTACCTCGCGAAATTGGAGTGGGAATTCTTGCCCGATCTCGCTGCTTCTGGCGCGAGGGGCCCGTCGGCGTTCTGCGCGGCGTTACCCGACGCAGTCTTCAACGACGGCTGGTTCACCATGGCGGAACTTGATTTCCAAGCGGCAGTGGCGAAACTCCAAAGGACAAGACCTCCAAGGAGTGCGTCGAGCACGAAGTAGTCAGGCACGACGTGGGTGCGCGGCACAGGTGGCCCGCTGGAAACTGGCAGCAGTTTCCCACAGCTCCCGGGCGAACTTGGAAGCCCGCGGCTCTGGCGCCACCAGTTCGTGAAGCATTGCGAAGTGCGCGACTGGCTGCGCGCCGCGCCCGCCACTGGAACAACGACACCCTGGACGACGAGGACATCAACTGGATCTTGCGCCTGGTGCGGGGCGAGATGAATCTCCTCCAGCGTGCCTCTGGCGACTGGTGCATCGCGACCGGGCGTGTCATCGCGTTGGCCGGGCTCTTCTACTTTGGCTTTGCCGGGGCCTTTTGCTGAGACCGGTGCCTGCTTCTCCTCCACCAGGGGATCGTCCACGAACAAGCGCGGCAGGAACAGAGCGAACGCGCGCGAGCTCAGGTTCTACAAAACAGGCGCCTGGAGCTTGCCGTCCCGCAGGTGATGATGGAACCTGCTGGCGGTCTGACGTCTTGCTGCGTGCTTGCGGCGGTCTGACAGTCATTTGCCGACCTCCCTTTCGCAGCCCCGCGCCCGCGCTCAGCTCGCCTAGGAGTCGACGCTGCGCGCGAAAAAACGTCGTTGGTAATGTCATCGTCGCTATCGCCGTCATCACGCCATCCACACTATCACGATCATCATCCACACGCGTCACGACCATCTACATCGTCATCCATATCGCCATCACCGTCGCCATTTGCATCGTCGTCTCCAACGCGACTGTCATCATCTACATTGCCAGCATCATCGCGATTGTCACCATCTCCATCGTCATCGTCACGTCGTCTACATCGTTACTTACATCGCCATCACCGCCGTCACCATCAAGTACATCGCCATCGCCATAGTGTACATCGTCATCTACGTCGCCGTCATATTTGACAGCGTTTCGCGCGCTGCCATCATCGCGATTGCCATCATCGCCACGACCGTCACCAGCATCATCATCATCAGCAGCATCAGCATCATCATCATCATCATCACCATCACGACCGTCATCATTTACATCGTTTGATCATGACATTGAATCATCACGTGTCCGTAACCATCATCATGGCCGACAGCAACTTCATAACAGCTGGTCCATACAATGGTGGTCGGCCGTTTGGTGGATCAGTCAAATAAGACGAGCGTGCGGGCGCGAGGCAAAGGCTGGCGGGGCGAAGCGGGAGGGCGGCCAGGCGCAATTGTCACAACAGAAAGGCCGACGGGCGTGGTTCGCGTCGCCGTCTGTTCCCATGGCGCACAGTGGACCCCACGCAGCTGCCGCAGCTATGTGTCTGCCGAGTGACAAAAAACGGCGCAGGCATAAGGTTCGGGGGTCCGCGCCAGTTTCTTGGACCGGCGATGGCCGCTCCCCTCTTCTGGCGCGAGGGGCACGCCAGGGCGACGCCAGAGGCGCCGCCAGGAGGGCCCAGCGCCGATCCCAGAAATGTTTGCGGACCTCCGACAATTCATTTCTATGTGTTATATATATATATATATATATATATATCCGAGGGGCAGCAGGAGCCGTTATCACTTAGTTTTGGCTTGTTTGGGGAGCAGCTCGTCAGACCCCCCCCGTGGCAACGACGATCGGCTCGTCAAGTGCACAGTGTTTGTATGCAGGCGCTTCCTCCCCCGATCTCCCCCAGATGCCCGAGCCCCTTCTGCTTGCGCGCAGGAGCGGATGCCAGAGCGCCCGGCCGTGTCGGAGTTTCCCCAAAACACACGCAGGGCCTCGAGCCACCGTCCGACGGACGCACGTCGTCGTCAGCGCTGTCGTCGGCGTCGTGTTCGTCGTCGCTGTCGTTTTCATCGTCGTCGTTGGCGCCGTCGTCAGCGCCGTCGGTCGTCGTCGCCGCGTCGTCCTCGTCGTGGTCGTCGCGTCGTCGCCAGCGCGGCGTAGTCGTCGGGGCGGCGTCAGGCGGAGTGGACAAAATTGTTGCCGCCCCCGCCGCCGCCAGCGCCATCGTCGCTGGGACGAGCCCGCCGCGACCTTCGGCCGCGTGGGTACCCTCCTCTTCGGTGCCGCTGCCGTCGACGTCGTCGTCGGCGTCGGCGTCGTCGTCGCCGTCGCCGCCGCCGTCGCCGTCGACGCCGCAGCCGCCGTCGTCGTCGTCGTCGTGATCGTCGCGTCGTCCGCGTCGCTGGTGTCGTCGACGTCGACGTCGGCGATCGCGTCGGCGTCGGCGTCATCCGCCACCGCGGTACCCGAGAGCCGCGCGGCCGCCGCGCGGGGGGGGCCGCGGCGATGTGCCGCCCGGAGGCCGGGTTCCCCTCTCCGTCCGCGGCCCCCGGGCGCAGGAAGTGCGTCCGAGTCCCCGCCTTCGTAGCAATTGCATTCGAGTTTCCGGGGCGAAGGACGGGCGCACACGTACGTGAGTCCACCATTGCTTCGTAAGTGCGTATTGCGCGATCGGTCTTATCGCGTGGCTGGTCTCGCGGACTGGGGGGCCGCATTCATGTACGTGGTTGAGCGCGTACGTCCTTCGTGGGCCCCGTAGAGCTTTTTCCCAGAGGCACCCCGGCCCCGCCAAGGACGAGTCCAAGCTGGCAGATGAGTTTCTTCTGCTCAGCCCGCTTTAGCGCTCCAGTCTTGAGTGGGCACCGAATTGCCGGTCAGCCAGCTTCAGCGCTCCAGTCCTGATGCAGCACCGATCCAGGCGCAAATCAAATTTCGTCCGTCCTTCGCAGCTTCCCAGATGGGGTCCGAGCAGATGGGGTCGGAGGATCGCGCCGCATCGCCGATGCATCGCCGAAGTGGCTCGAGGTGGATCCCGATTTCCCCACGCCGACGTCGCCGATGCCGACCCCATCTACTCGGACCTCCTGTCCTGCCTCCCGTCCTCCCTCCCATCTTCGTCACGCGTTCGGACGTGTTCGCTACTCCTGGGGCGATCTCTGGCCTCGGGGGTGCTTTCCAGCAGCTGCGCCCCGCCGAGAGCGCTCCGGGGCAGCCCGCAGCGTCCCGACCGGCCGCCGGAGACCAGAGCTGCGACCGCAAGACCGGGCGGAGAGGGTCGTGGGGGGGTGGCGTCAGGCACAGGCGGGCTTGTGGAGACAGGGGTGGTTGGCCTTCTGGGGGGTTCCTCGTCGCCACGGCCTGACGCCACGCGGACAGATTCTGCGTTCGGACCCCCGGAGGCGTCCGGGAACCGATGTCATCGAGCTGCCCTGCCTCGACTCGACCTGCTCTGCCTCGTGCTGCCTCCGCCCTCCTCTCCCTTCCTCCTTCCTTCCTCCTCTCGGGGGTGGACAGAACCCCCAACAGTGACACGTCGATTAGTGAATTGTCCGTTTTCGGTTTTTGAGAGGGCCCGCTGCCTGGCGCAGGCGGCGGCGCTCGCCGTGCACCGAAATACGGAGGAGGCGTGGCTCCAGTTTGTCATGCTGCCCAAGTGTGTCCTCCGCCCGCACACGCGCGGGGGCCGCGGCAGCAGGAGCGCGGCGGAAGCTCTGACCAAGAACCTCTGCCAGCGCTGGCTGGAGGGAGAGCGCGCTTCGCTCTGGGCGGAGACCGCGGACAGGCGAGCCACTGCAAAACCCTCCCGAGCGGCTCAGAGAGCGCAGCGCTGCCTGGAAGTCTCGGCGGACGCGCAGTACTCCAAGGGCTGCTCGGCGCTCACCAGCGAGCCCCCGGCGGAGGTCACCACAGCTGTGCTGGAGCAGATGCGTCAGAAGCACCCAAGCAGCCAGCGACCCGTGGACGCCGCTAGCCTCCCCGCGGTCAACGCGGCGGCGGTGCCGCAGCTAGACACCGCCTCGCTCGAGCGCGAGGTGCGGGCCTTCCCTCGGGGCTCCGCTCCGGGCCCCTCCGGCTTGCGGCCGCAACACCTCAAGGACGCGCTGCAGACGGCGGCCCACCGCGACGAGGTGCTGCAGCAGCTGCTCGGCCTCACCAACCTCCTCGCGAAGGGTCAAGCCCCCCCCGGCGTGGCGGACTACCTGGCTGGCGCCTCGCTGGTGGCCCTACCCAAGAAGGACGGCGGCCTTCGACCGGTGGCCGTGGGGGAGACCGTGCGGCGCCTGGTGGCGAAGTGCCTTTGCAGCCAAGTCTCTGACGCCGCCCGAGACCGCCTCGCCCCCCTGCAGGTAGGCGTCGCCCTCACGGGCGGCTGCGAGGCCGCGGTTCACGTGTCCCGACAGTGGTTCGCGCGCCACGCTGGCAGCAGGCAGAAGGTGTTCGTTAAGCTTGACTTATAAGCGACGCTTTCAACACCCTCGACCGCCAAGCCCTCCTGCAAGCGGTGCACGAGGAGCTGCCCGCTCGTGCGCCCTGGGCTTCCTGGTGCTACCGGGCCCCCTCCCTGCTCTGGCTCGGCCGGCACTCGATCCGCTCGGAATGCGGCGTGCAGCAGGGGGACCCACTGGGGCCGCTGCTCTTCTCCCTAGCGCTGCAGCGCGCTGCCGAGAGGGCTCTCCGCCAGCCCGCCCCCGCGGCCGCGGGCGCCCTGGACCTGACTTTCTTTTTCCTCGACGACGGCACCCTTGCGGGCGACTGGCAGGCCGTGGCGCGCCTGCTCCACCTGCTGGTGGGGGAGCTGGCGACCGTGGGACTCCGCCTGAGCACGGGGCCCGGGAAATGTGAAGTGGTCCCCACTGGCGGTAACGACAGCGAGGTGGATTTGCAGGCCTTCCCCCCGGGCTTCCGCCTGCGCGCGGACGGCTGCTTCGAGCTCCTGGGCGCGCCAGTCGGCAGCGACGCCTTCTGCCTCGAGCACACCCGGCAGCGAGTCGACAAGGCCACCGAGCTCCTCGACGCACTCGGCGCCCTCGAGCACGCCCAGGTTGCGCTCCACCTGCTACGGCAGTGCCCCGGCTTCTGCAGACTCAGCTACTCGGCGCGGGTTGTCCCGCCCAATGTGCACACGGAAGCGCTGGTCAAGCTGGACAACGCAGTGCGCGCCAGCCTCGAGCAGCTGAGCAGCAGCTCCCCCACGGACGACTCCTGGGCACAGGCGCAGCTCGCCCTCAAGGCAGGCGGCCTGGGGCTTCGCTCGGCGGAGCGCCACGCGCCCGCCGCCTACTTGGCTTCCCGCGCGGCCTGCTCTGCGCTCTGCCAGCAGCTCTGGGCGGGCTACTCCGACGACGACACCGGCGCCGACGGCGCCCTGGGCGCTGCCGCGGCGGCCTACAACGCCCGGTTAACACTGGCAGATCGGATCGCTTTCGACGCCAGCCAGCACGGCAACCAGCGGGGGCTCTCTGACCGGCTGGACCAGGCCGCCAAGGCCGAACTCTGGGAACGCGCTTGCCCCGCCACCAGGGCCCACCTCTCGCTGGTCAGTGCCCCTGGCGCCAGCGGCTGGCTGCAGGCGCGGCCCTGTGCTGAGGTTGGCACGGAGTTCCCGCGCGGCTTGATGCAGATTGCTCTGCAGAGGCGCTTGCGGGTGCAGCTGGCGGACGCAGAGACCTTCTGCCCGGCTTGCGACGGCATCCTCGACGTCTACGGCGACCACGCGCTGGTCTGTCCTTGCCGAGGGGACCGAGTCAAGCGGCACAACGCCTTACGAGACCAGGCTTTCTTCGCCGCGCAAGCCGCGGGGTTCCCAGGCTCCGAGCTCGAACGGCCTGGCCTTCTGCAGCCTCGCGCGAGCGGCGAGGGCCCGCCTGGGACGGAAGAGAACGGCGGCGAGCTCGACGACGGCGGCCGACGCCCGGCGGATGTGTATATTCCCCGTTGGCGTAACGGCGCCCCGGCCGCCCTTGACTTCGCGGTCACCTCGGGGCTGCGGGGCGACCTGCTCGCCGCCTCGGCTGCCGCGCCTGGCGCCGCGGCCGAGCGCTACGAGGAGCAAAAACGCCTCTTCCTCAACACCGAGCGCAGCTGCGCCGCCGCTGGGATCACCTTCATTCCCATGGTGGTCGAGGCGCACGGCGGCGGCTGGGGCAAGGAGGCGCGACGCGCCCTGGCCGTCCTGGCCAAGCGCGCGGCAGACGCCACGGGGGACGACCCCTCGCAGGTGGCGGCGGAGCACGCCCAGCGACTCTCGCATCTCCTCCAAAGGGAGAACGCGCGGGCCGTGCTCCGCAGGCTACAGGCGCCGGTCGGGGCGCCCGCGGCCAGGTTTGCGGCGGCCACGGCGGCCAACGCGGCCGACGCCGCCTGAGCCGCCGGCCCACTCCCCCTCCCCTGACTACGACCACCGCCCCCGGCCCGCCCCAACGACCGCGACCGCCCCCGACGCCCTGCCCTGACTTGACCGCGACCGCCCCGACGACTGCGACCGCCCCCGACGACCACGACAGCCCCCGACGACCAACGCCCCCGACGCCCTGCCCTGACCACGACCGCCCCGACGACCACGACCCTCCCCGACGACCACGACCGCCCCCGACGACCAACGCCCCCGACGCCCTGCCCTGACCACGACCGCCCCCTCCCCCGTCCACGACGACGACCTCCTCCGTCCGCCCCCTCGTTCCTGCTTGCTCTGCGCTGCCTCTGCCGCTCCCCTCCCTCCTCAAGTCCTGTTCGGCGTTTGTTCGCAATGCTTTTTCTTCTTGCCCCTCCTCCTCCTCCTCCTCCTCCTCCTCCTCCTTTTCCTGCTCCTGCAACCGGAGGCCCGGCGTCTGAAGGCGTCTCTCGGGCTTGGTCTGCAGCGACCGTGCGCTGGCTGCTTCCTTGTCCCGACGTCGGTCGAATTTAGCTAGGGGGGACCTTCGGCTTGACACGAGCATGCCGAATCCCGTGAGACGATTTGGCGCCGCCCTTGTTGGGGGGCGGCCCCCCTCTCGGCGGCCCGGCGCCAGGCCCACGGAGCAAGTTGCCACGGAGGCTCGTGGAACGCGATTTTCCAGGCTTGCGCCCGCCAGGTTTGGGCCTCAGGTCGTCTTCACTAAACCACGTTTTACTAAAGGGGGGTCTGTCCATCCCCGATCCTCTTCGCCCTCCTCTTCGCCCTCCTCTTCGCCCCCCCCTTCCCCGTCTCCCAATCCCCCTTCCCGGGCCTGCCCCCGGAAGCGCCTCCGCGTCCCATCCCGCCTCGTGCCTCCCCGTCCCTCCTCCTCGGGGGGGGGGGCGTCCGCCGCCGACCCTCGCCCTCCGCCGCGCGCTCGCCGCGGCTCGCCCTCCCTCCCTCTCCTCCTCCTCCTCCTCCTCCTCCTCCTCCTCCTCCTCCACCTCCTCCTCCTCCTCCTCCTCCACCTCCTCCTCCTCCTCCTCCTCCTCCTCCTCCTCCTCCCTCCCTCCCTCCTCCTCCTCCTCCTCCTCCTCCTCCTCCCTCTTCCTCCTCCTCCTCCTCCTCCTCCTCCTCCGGGAGCCTGCCTGGCACGCTCAGTGCCGCGAGGTCTCCTCCCAACGAGGTCGTTGAGCAGGGCTGGACCTGTTTTTCGTTTCGTTTTCGTGTTCCCTCGTCTTGTCTTCCGTCCGCCGCTTACCGCAGAACGACACCGGAGCGAAAAAACGGCCCACGAGAGCGCCAGAGCACCGTTCAGGTCCGGGCCTGTCGTGCAGTGATGCGCTCTGGGAGTTCCCAAGACGTCCACGGTTTCTGGCAGTTTTGACGCCAGATACTTTGGAATTCCCAGGACGTGCTGATCCTGAGCCTGTACGATGACAGAACTTTCGTCCTATCCAGGATAGGACGGAAGGTCTGTCATCCTCCGCGTCGTATTGGCTATGGGGGGGCGACGCGGAGGATAATCCTCCGCGCCGTCCCCCCATATCCTCCTCCTCCTCCCTCTCTCCCTCCAGCGTTGTATTGGCCCCCGTCTGCTCCACATGCCCCCCTCCCACAGAGAGCCATCCATGCGAGCCAACAGAGATCCCCCTTCATCCTCTCCGCCCCCTTCATCCTCTCCGCCTGCCCCTCTCGGGCCAAACGAGAGGGGGGGATAGGGAAATGGGGGGGGGTGTACGAAATCTGCTGCATGCAGCTGGTTTCGGCCCCGCCGCCGGGCCCACTCTTCGACACATGGGCGCCTCCCGGCGCCAGGAGGGCGCCGGGAAAACCGGCTGCGCGAGCTGCTTCTCAAACCCCCCCTTTTGCTGTCCCCCCCTTTCGCCCGGCCTTCCCCTCCTCCGCGTGCCCCCCTCCTTCTTCCCCTTCCCGCGTCTCTGGCCCGCCCCTCGCGCCGCGAGGTCTCCCAGCGAGCCCCGTACGCCCACGCCGCGGCGGCGCTCGCCGCGCCGGGTGCCGCGGCGAGGAGGGCCACCTCGCCGAGGCCCGAGGGCGAGGGGTGTTGTCCGGGTGCGTCGAGGGCCCCCGAATTTGAAGCAGTACGTCAGGGGTCCCCAAGCGGGGTGAAAAATGTTTGCGTTTGCGTGCCAAGGCATTTTCTTTTGCGGAGTTGGGCGCCCTGGCGCGGACGGCGGAACGACCCCTGCAGCGGGACACCCTGGCCACGCAGTCGCCGCCGCAAAAACTGCCCGTTCAATTCAAGGTTGGCGCCGCGCAAAGGCTGCGCGCGTGAGCACACCGTGCGGTGAGTCGGCGGGGATCCGGGGTCACCGCGCGGTTTTGGGACTCGGGTCATTCTCCGAGGACGTCTCGGGCGACCTGGGCATAAAACCGTGCGGTGGCGGGCCGTGCGGTGAGGTCTCTTGGGTCTTCGAGGTCACCGCAGGGTCTGTCGCCGCGCCGTTTCGGGACTTCGAAGTACGGGGGGCCTAAGGTAGCAGGTCGCCCCAGTTTGGTGCCGGCCAGCGGAACGTGGGGAGAAATGGGCTCCTTCGTCGCCACGGCTCGGCGGGGCCTCTGCACACTCGGCAAGGTTCGACCTTCGGAGGTGTCCGGAGACCCTTTGAAGCTGATTTTTCAACGGCACCGTCACGGGTACGTACTAGCGGGTACTTTGAACGTTTGCCGAAAGTTGCCACTTTAGGGCTTTTTTCTTGCATTGCAGCTTTGCCCACATCGGGAAGGGTTGGGTTCGCTGGGTCAGTGGCCAAAGTACCCGTTAGTGGAGTCCCCGTTTGAGGGGCGCTGAATTTGACCTTCGCCACCCCTCCCTCTTGACAGATCAGGGGCCCGTCCAGCGCAGACGCACCAGCCGCTTCCAAACGGTGTGATGGCAGCAACACGTCGTGAGTCAGTGGGGATTGAGGGTGGCCGCGCGGATTTGGGACACGGGTCCCTCTCCGAGGATATCTCCGGCGATTGGGGCCTCCTGGGCCCCCGAACGGTGCGGTGACGGGACCGTGCGGTGAGGTCGTTTTGGGGCTGCCGCACGTTCTGTCACCGCACCGTTTTAGGATCCCTGAAGATTGCTTGTGGAAGGTTAACTGCAGCATCGGCGCTAGTAAATCCGTGGTCGAGCTGGCGCCATATATCAGTGGTCGAAACCGGCCTAATTTGGCATAGTCCGCGTAATTCATGTCAAGTGCACCTGGGCTGAACAATGCAATGACCTATTACTCGGGCATCGTAGCCTTTCGTCGTTCTTCCGAGGGCCTCCCAGGAGTTGCCTTTTGATGGGCTGGGGGGAGGATCGGGAGGGTCGAGATGGGGACGGAAGAATTGGGGACGGAGATCGGCATCATGTAGTATCCCTTTTTGAGCCAGATTCGCTGTCGGTGCCGCCGCGGGCACTGTCTCACGTCTCCCCTCTTTTGTCTCGTGTGGTATGTTTGTGTGTACAGGCGGCCCGGATTAGTAGTTCGGCCCTGCCAGATTAAGGGTACCCTCGTGTCCTGTGTCTTGTGACCCATGCCTCCAGCATGTTTGTGGCAACTTGGCCCTCGGAAGGGTCTTGTGTCCTCTCTCGTGTCCTTTTCCAATCAAGTCCGAGTGTAAGAGGCCAGCCATCCCTCCCCAATCTCACCCGTCAGTGCTGTACAGAGTGGGGCAGAGCAGCCACGCCCCCCCGTCAGATATCCATCTCTCTGCCTCGTCTGCAGAGAGGCAGAGAGATATATAGAGAGAGAGAAAGCGAGAGAGGGAACAAACGAGATAATATCTGATAGGAAGAGAAAGCTGCCGTGTGCCCTTCCATGCCGTGTGGGAGGAGTGGGAGAGCAGCCACCTTCACCTTCCAAGTTTCTTGTTTGTGCTGCGCTCGCAAAGTGAAAGAACGAGAGAGAGAGGGAGCAGAGCAACCATTTCCCTCGTCCGCCCCCTCTGCATTGTGTGGCCAGTCTGTCTTTGAGAAGGCAGCCACGTCCCCTTGATGTGTGTTCCAGTGTGTTATGTTTGCAGGGTGAGAGATGGCCAGCCCTCCCTCTTCCCTGCTTCTTCCCGGTGTTGTACGTGAGTTTGTATGGGAAGAGAAACAGAGAGAGGCAGAGACAGAGAGGATGGGAGAAAGAGATAGATAGAGAGAGAGGCGGAGAAAGGGTCCTCGAAAACTCATCCACATGCCCGATGCCGTTTGGCAAAGGGCTGAGATTTCGAGCACCATGCCCAGGGGGGCTGCGGGAACCATGCTCGGGGGGGCACTGGTTGCGAAGAGGCTTGCGACGAACAGTAGAGAGAGAGAGAGAGAGAGACAACGAATCGTGAACACGAGCTGTGATGATCACAATACAGACGACGAGCACAGCTCAGACGCCTCGAGGCAAGACGAAGATCTTTGCAACAGACGTCCCAACGCAGCGCGAGGGGCGCCGCAATCCCAGGGCCTCCCCGAGGTCCGGGCGCCCCCCGACCCGCCCTCCGCGCCCGCCCATCGCGCCTGGACTTCCTGCGCTCCCTTCATGGGCGCCAGTGGTGCTGGAGTTTCCATGGCCTCCTCCTTCTTCTCCTCCTCCTCCTCCTCCTCCTCTGTTCGCCCCCTCTCTCCCTCCTGTCTTATCCTCCTCCTCCTCCTCCTCCTCCTCCTCCTCCTCCTCCTCCTCCTAATGTGTACTGGTGCCAGCACAGAGTGTGCGAGCACAGTCCAGAGGCCCCTGACCAATGCCAGCTTTGTGGAGATGGTAGGGGCACTTTGTACCATCGCAGGTTTCAGTGTGTTGCCTTCGCTCCCTGGCGACGCGAGAACCTGGATCCCGTGGTTGAGAGGGCGGCTCGTGCGGTTGGCCATCTCCCCACTTCGGCTGGAGAACTGTTTAGCAGAGGTCTCTTCCCCAACCCTGCGGCCTGGGTGGAGCGACCCCCCCGTGACCCGCAGGACCCGTGCACCAGGCACTTTCAGTGGCCTCAGGACGGCCCCCTTTTCATTCCTGAGGGGGCCCATGTGTTCACGGACGGGTCGGGTTTTGAAGGGGAGCTCACAGGACTCGGGACCGCGGGGTGGGCTGTTGTGGTGCTGGACAGGCTCGGGAGGACCCTTGCAGCCCTGTTTGGCGTCGTGCCGTTCGGGGAAGCGCCTGGACAGCAAGCACGGGATGGCGAGGATTTCGCTGTTCTGATGCTCTCCCGCCGCTCGGTCCTCGCCTCAGGGGTCTCGCTTCATGTGGACTGTGCGGCCACGGTCGGCTGCCTCCGAAATCTCTCGGGGGCTGCTGGAGCGGCCTCGGCCCGAGCCCACTGGTGGGCTGAGATTGGGGACCGTTTAGAGAGCTTGGCGGTGCATCAGATCCCGTCTCACTCGTCAATGTTGGATGTCAGGGACGGCCGTATCACGGAAATGCAGCGTTTCGGGAACTCGGAGGCGGACAGACTCGCCAAGGAAGGAGCTGAACCATTCCGAGTGTCGCGCGTGGACCGCCAGTTTGTCACTGGATATGCTGAGTTCGTCCGACGTGTAGGGCTGTACAGTGCCAGGCAGCAGGTGGAATGCAGAAATTTAGCCCTGAACGATCATCAAGGGCTGGAATGGCTCAGCTACGTCCTCCTGGACGCGGTCCCTGGCCTCCCCTTTCCTGGTTCGGACCCTGGGGAGGGTGAGCCAAGTGCGCAGTGCGAGGTGCCTCTGGGTGCGCCAGGTGCGGGGGAGGTCCCTGGTGTCACCCCTGGTGCGAACTCTGGCGAGCCGCCTCCTGGGAACCCCCCGACCCCAGGAGCATGGCTCCAACTGGGACACTCCCTTGAACAGGGGGTGGTTTATGAGTCGGATGGCTGCACGTATCACGATACTATGCTGTGCTGCACGGCGTGTGGTGCTATGGCACATTCCAGCACGAAACGGGGGAATCTTCGGTGGAGGTGTCGTCCTGTCGCGTCGTGGGGACGGGGGTTCTACCTTGACCGATTTCGTGCTGGACGGTATCCTGCCCATCGGAATCCTCGAGGGCTCACGATGGCGTACACGGGGGCCCCCTCTCCTGAGGTTCGCTCGGAGTGGAGGCCCTACTTTGAGGCCTGGGCCCTGGGCCGCGACCGCCCCCCGAGAGTTGCTCGGGGGACCCAGCCCTTGCGCGGCGAGGGTCCCGCCGCCGACCGTGGGCGAGGACTCGCCCTGCTCGGTCTGTCGAGGGCGGAGGTCGTGGAGCTAGGGGCCGAGGTGGAGGCCAGGCGCCGCAGGGGTGAACTCCCCGTGGAGGAGGAGGACCTCTTCGGCTGCCTCGGCCCCTCCTAACTCGTTTGTTTTTGTTGCATGTGAATTGGGTCACTCCCTTCGTGGTCGTGGGCGTCCTCCTCCTCCTCCCCCCCCCCCCCGGCGCCGCAGGCCCGCGCAGGCCGAGGCGCCGCACGCCCAGGCGCCGCGGGGGGCGCGCCCCGGCCGGCGGCCGGCAACCCCTGGGAGAGAGAGGCCGGGGCCGTGCGGCGGGCGGCTTTCGCTGTCGCGGGCGGGGCGGAAGGTCCTCCCTCCTCCTCCTCCTCCTCCTCCTCCTCCTCCTCCTCCTCCTCCCTCCTCCTCCCCCCCTCCTCCCTCCTCCTCCTCCTCCTCCTCCTCCTCCTCCTCCTCCTCCTCCTCCTCCTCCCTCCTCCTCCTCCCCCCTCCTCCTCCTCCTCCTCCTCCCTCCTCCTCCCCCCTCCTCACCCCCCTCCTCCTCCTCCTCCCTCCTCCTCGGGGTAAGGGGGGGTAATCACCACCCACCAAACCACCCCAGCCCAACCCGAAGGCTCAGATTTACCCTCGATTTCCAGTGGGGGGGGGGGGTCGGGAAACATCGAAAAAGATTCACGTGGAACCCTTCCCCCCCCAACCCGAAGTTCGGCGCTGATTCTCAACCCCCCCCCACTTTGTGATCCCCCCCTTTCGCCCGGCCCGAGTATGGCACCCCCGCGAGTGCGGACAGAGAGTGACGGGTGCGGGCGCGGGGTGGGGCGCGGGCGGCGGGTCGCGGGGTGGATCGCGGGATGGGGGGTCCGCTCCCCCCGCGCCCCCCCCCGCGTCCCCCCGGAAGACGACGACGACGACGACGACGACGGCGGCGGCGACGACGAGCAAAACCAAGCAACAAGCAACAAGCGGGGGGTGGGCGACGTACAGATCACAACTACGGGCCAGCGACCTCGTTCCTGCACGGGCCACCCGCAGAGAGAAAACGTCGACAGCGGATGCCTGTGTACAGGTTCTCGTGGCGTGTCTCCTCTGCAGTTCCCCCAGCACTCTTGCCCTGCTTAGGAGCAAACCCACAAAGATGCATTTGTGCATGAATTTCAGGAGGGAAAGAAACACACAGACACAATTAATCGGCGATTCCCAGAAAATATTGGAAAATATGGGAAGTGGGGGGGAAGGCTAAAACCCAGAACATATAAGAACATATGGGGGATATTTTTATTTGTGTGTATTTATTTGTGTGTCCCAGTTCCCCTTCAGAATTGTTCGTTGGTTTCGAGAGTTTGCATTGCACGAGCGCTCGTAACATAACACGAGGCTGGCCTCGCGGTCTGTGGCGCCGTGTTCGGGCGCTAATTACCCTTTTTGTGGGTTCCCTGCCTGCTGCCTCCCAGCTCTTCACGTTTTGAGGGCGCCTCGGCCGCCTCGCGGTCCTCTCCTTTCTCCTCTGTTGCAGTCCTTTCCACTGTGCCCAATTCCGCGAATAGCCGACCGCCGGCTGGATCCAGACCGCTGATCAGCAAAGAGTCTGATGCTCACCGAGTCCGTCGAAGGAAGAACAGCACGATCATACACGTTCCGAGGCCCGCGCAGATGCCTTGGGTCGGAGCCCCCTTCCCTGGTGCGCGGAGCGTGCCGGGGGCGCCGCCAGAGGCGCGGCCAGGAGGCTCCAGCGCCGATCCAGGAGTTCACGCGCAGACGTCCGACGATTTATGATTGTGCCGATGCCCTTCTACGGTTTGGTAAACGCGCCTTCCACTTAGTTGTTCCTCTGATGCCTCTCCAGGAGCCCCAACGATCCTGGACATGCAGATTTGCCTGCAGCCTGCAGGTGCTGGAAGTTTAGGAAGTGTGACAACTCCTTGTGAAGCTGCCGCCCACAAGGACACCGCAGTGTCGTGTTTCGCGTCGTGCTTGGCGTGCGTGCGAAGCTTCGAGCGAGACCGATCATCCATCGAGCTGGTGAGGCTAGCTTGTCTTGGTCATCGCGTACACGTCGCAGACCGGCAACGTCGCGCAGAGGTGTTGCGAAGTCGCAGTGCGAGCCAAATTGAATCCATCGATCCACTAATTACGGCTGTTCGTCTCGATTGTTGATGACGGTCCATCTCGTTACAATTGTTTTGCCCAAGTGTTTCCTATCATGTCATTGCGATTTACCAATCTCCATGAGTGCGGGCATTGTTTCCAAGAGCTCGAGCAGTGCCTCTTCGATGGGCCGATGATGTTGAACACGCTGGAGATGACGTGATGGTGACGACGTGGTGACGGGGTATGATGGTGGCGAGGCTGATGTTGATAGATTGGTTTGCTATGATCCAGTTGATGAGATGATTACAGTCGGGGCCCTGAAGAAGGAACCCTTTTCGTGGGGAGGGGCTCCGTGTTCCTTAGTTGGTTCACAGCTTGCCTCAGGTTTTCCTTATGCTCTCGAGGGGAAGTCGAAGCTCCACTTATGGTAAAAAGGGGCCTCGCTCCTTATTTGGGGCTCCGTAGGTCAACGCCCCGACGGTACGTGAAGAGGAGGAAGTCGGGGCAGGTGGATGGCCTTCCCTCCCCTCTTCTCTGCCCCTCCCCCGGCCCAGCGCGACTGCTGCGGCCAGGGCGCCCGGTGGCCCCCTCGCTCGCCCTCGCCTGCCCCATGGCCGTGCCCCCTCCCCGCTTCTGCCGCCTCCCTCCCTTCCCGCCGCCCCTCCTCTGCCCCGCCCCGGCTCCCTCTCCCTCCTGGCCCCCCCTCCTCCTTCCAACCCCCCCCGCCGTTAAGCCCTCCCCGCCCCCTTCGTCTCGGGCCGGGCGAAAGGGGGGGGATGGGGAAAGGGGGGGGTACGAAATCTGCGGTATGCAGCTGGTTTCGGCCCCGCCGAGGGGCCCATTCCCCGATACATAGCCGCCTCCGGCGCAGGGAGGCGCCGGGAGAATCAGCTACGTGAGCTGATGCTCACCCCCCCCCCCTTTGCTACCCCCCCTTTCGCCCGACCCGATCGTCCCTGTCCTCGTCCCTCCGCGTGATCACTGACGACACGGTACTTGCAGGCGTGGACCCCAGACCGTGAGCTTGCGCACTGCGGATGTGTAAATCAGGTCGTGCGATGCATGTGGTGTAAGCCATGCTGTTAGAGCTTCGCGGTACAAGATGTCTGGTGGGAGCTATGCAGGGTACGACTATGTGGTGCAAGCTATGTGCAACAAGCTGCGTGGTACAGAATGTATGTTTCGAGCTATGTGGTGCAACACATGTGGTGCAAGGTATGCGGTGCAAGTACACGGTGCCGCGGAGAGGCGGCGCCAGCCAGCCAACACGAGGTGCCCACCAGCCGAAAGCCCCGAACATCCGGCCAACACGAGGCGCACAAGTGGCGCCCACGGGCACCCATGAGCCGAACGTCCTGAATTGGCGGCTATCACGGGGCGCCCACGGGAGCCCACCAGGCGAGAGGCCGCGACCAATTCTTTGATGCCCCTGTAAGAACCCATAGTGGAACCACTGTCTGAAACGTCAACAAGCGTGCATCAATACATGCGCAGCTACAGATATATTCATACTATGTGTGATGGGAAGAATTGCCCAAACCAGAAGTGGCCACAGGGCTGGCCAGGGTAAGTCTTCGACGGACGGATCTTCCATGCGATGTAGCATGTCTGGCCGCAAATGATAGCATCAATCTCATTGAAAATCCGCCCCCTCCCAGGGCAGCTGGCCTGCCGACGGCTGCCGGCCCTACGTGAGGGCCCTGGCCGCTGAGAAGCGCCCTCCGGCACCACCGCCGCCGCCGTGGCCGCCGCCGTCGTCTTCGTCGTCGTCGCTACCGTCCAAGCGGAGGAGGAGGAGGAGGAGGAGGATCGTTTTTTGCCCCATCATCCTGAGGTGTTGGGTCTTCGTTTCGAAGAGACAGTCCCCGCGTCCGCTCCTCCTGCCCCCCGCCCCGCCCCCCCCTTCCATCCCTGCCTATGCTCTCCGCATGTCTCTGTTTCGTCTCGCCCCTCACACACCTCGTGGCCCCCTGGGGAGCTCCACGGAAGGCCCCATCGGCAGGGCCCACCCGCTGTTCCCCGCCCCATTCCGACACACCCCTCACGCGTTTCGTGGCCCCACGGGGAGCACCACCATAGGCCCCAGTGGCAGGGTTCACATGCGGTTCCCCACCCATTTGTCAGAGCGTGAATTACCTACCCCGCTTTCGCTTCCAGGCAAAACCAAGCCATACCACGCGCCTCCTCGTCAAGCGGCCTGACCAGTACAGGCTGCAATTTGGCATCGCTTGGTATCTCTTGGAAGCGAGGGTGGTCAAAAGCGAGGTAGGTTTGTTTTCCCCCAAATTTGGGCATACCACACACACGTTGCGTGACCCCATACGGAGCTCCAGTGGAGGCCCCGGTGGCAGGGGCCACATGCAGTCCTCCGCCCATTTTGGCACGCACCACTCACGCGTTTCGTGGCCCCATTGGGAGCTCCACCGGAGGCCCCAGTTGCACGGTTCACATGCGGTTCCCCGCCCATGTGGGCACACCACATACGTCTCGTGGCCCCACAGGGAGTTCCAAAGAAAGCGGTTCCCACACCGCGGCACTCACAACTGCATATGGTCGGGCCTTTCGCCCGGATAGTTATGAACGTTTGCATAAGCATAAGTTGTCAGAGGTCTTCGTCTATTTCTCGGCGATGGTCGCGCTTCAAGGAGGAGGAGGGCAAGGACGAAAGAGGACTAGGACGAAGGCGAGAATGAGGAAGAAGCGGACGACGAGGGGATGAGGATTGGGCGCAGGGTCGGGTTTTTCACATCTTGGGGGAAGCGTGGACCCCTGGGTGCGTCGAAGACCTAGACATTGGATTCGAGTTCCAAGCTGCAGAGGGTGATATTCAAATCGATGGTGGACCTGAATCCGCGTCCATCGAAGTAACTGCTGCACCAGCAACAGCAGTTGCGAGACTTGTCAACTAGTCGGAGGTCGTGGGCCGAGACCGAAATGACACGGAGTCCCCCTGCCGGGAAATCGGTATCGGTGTCGTGTCGTGTCGTGCGTACCGACGATGCGAAGCAGCGCGAGCCTTTGCACTATAGCTAGACCCGAGTCGCGCCAAAAAGAGTCGTTGCTGTTGCCCGAGGAGCCAGGGCGTGTTTGGGGGGAATTCCCGTGGTTGTCCCGCGGCTGTCTCGCGGTTGTCTTTCGGTTGTCCCGACCCGTGGTTGTCCCGTGGTTGTCGGTGATTGTCTTGTGCGTGTTCTGTTCTTGTTTCGCGTTTGCCCCGTGGTTGTCCCGCGGTTGTCTTGTGATTGTCCTGTAGTTGTGCCGTTGTTGTCCTGGAGCTGTCCAGTGGTTGTCCGTGGTCGTCCCGTGGTTGTCCCATGGTCTTTGCCTTGCCTATGAATCGACAGATGGTGAGATCCACGCATGTATTGAGAGGTCCATGAATGGTTTATGGTGAGAATAGATATGTGGAATGAGACCGATAGTGAGACAGATTGGTTAATAGTGAGATAGATTTGTGCTTTGCAAAACTGATAGGTCGTGGGAGCAACCAGTCGATTGATATTGCGATCGGTAGTAATCGTGCGCACATTTTGTGTTTAGAATATGTGTCCCATGGTGTTCCTGTGATTGTCCCTGCGGTTGTCCCATGGTCGTCCCAGTGTTGCCCGCTTGTTGTCTCGTCCGTGAAAAGACAATGATACTATAGAAGGTATGATCGATATTTAGGTTGACAGTGTGATCGGTAAAAGGTGTGACATCGGCAGCTAGTGGGATTGGTAGATCTTTTCATTGCGAGATCTTTGGGTAATTAGTGAGACCAGTCGATCGGACAATGATTATATAGAATATGGCCTTAGGCCCATCCCGCCATCGTGCTTAGGTTGTAGGTCAGAGGCCTCTTGGATGCCTGTGAGGATCTCTTGGGAGGCCTCTCGGAAGTCTCTTCAAGGCGGTTTTTGGGTCGTCTTAGGGTGTCTTGGGGGCCTTTTGGAGCCTGATTTGGATCTCTCGGGGCCTGTTCGGGACACCTCGGGGGCCTCTGGAGGATCTTGGGTCCTTATTGGGGCCGAGGGCTCGAACTGTCAGTTCGTGCTCTCCCTCTTGGGCTCCTCTTGTGGCCGTCCTGGGGGCCTAGTGGGCCCCTCTTGGGGGCGCCTTGGCACTTCTTGGTCGATCTGGGGCGCCCTTTGGGCGGTCTCGGACGCTCTGAAGACCGACAAGGGCGGCAAGGCTGAAACAGTACCAACATACCTACAGGATCCGGCGTGCATAAGGAACACTGAACTTTTCAGAAGGGGCTCTGTCCCTTGTACTTCTTTAAAAAAGGGACTTCGTAGACCTACTTGGGAAGAAAGGGGCATCGTTCCTCATTCATCGTTCCTGAGGGCAGGCCGAATGCTGCTCTCCAGGGCCTCCAGGACGGCCCAAGAGCCGCCCAAGAGGGCCCAGGGGGTCGGCTGAAGCCATGCTGGACGGGCACGTCCCGAGCAGCGCGCCCTGGGCCTCGAAGAAGAGTGACGCGGTTCCCCCCCCTGGGAGCGCGGGAGCGTAAGACCCGGGTTTGCCAGGACTCGGGTTCGCTATCGTTTTTTGACGACCGCGCCTCGGATTTTGACGAGGAGGAGTTTCGTGGGATGCCTGCAGCGGGAGGCCTCGTCAAAATGCAGGCTCGGCCTCGTCATTTGTTTGACGACCTCGTCGGGGATTTCCGAGTCCCCTGTACCCAGGTCTTACGTCCCCCTGACGGGAGCGCGCGAGAGCGTCTGGGAGTGCTCGGAACTTTGGGCTGTGGGCCCTGAAAGAGTATTTCAAACACAACGCAGGGAGTTTGAATGCGACAGGCACGATGGGGGGACGGGGCCCCCTGGCCGAGCCCAGGGACCTCCGCGAAGCATGGGGGGTCAGGGGCTCCGAGATCGCTTCCAAGCGCGCTCTGGGCTCCAACAACCACCCTCAGGAGCCTTTCTATGGCTTCCGAAGGCGCCCCGGACAGGACAGCACCCCCTCATCGCTGAAAATGCCGCTCCAAGACTGTCCAAGAGCGGTTCGAGATCCTCACGAGGCCTCCCGGGACTTGCCCTAGAAAGCCCCCGAGGTGCCAAAATCGACAAATTCCAATAGAAAAACATACATTTTCAGCATTTACGCTTTTTCATCTTTTACGGCGTTGAAGCCCATCAAGGGGCTCCCCAAATTGCCCCAAGACAGCCCGGGACAGCCACAAGACAGCCCCAAGACGGCCCAGGACGGCCCCAAGACGCTTCCAGAGCCGCCCAAGAGAGACCGAGATGGCTCCAACACACTCGCAGGAGAGTCCCAAGAGACTCCAAGAAGTCCCCCCAAGACCTCACGAAACCCCCCTGAGGCTTCAAGGGACCGCAAGCGGCCCCCGAGAGGCCCATAAGACTCCCTCGAGACCCCCCCAATGCCGCTCCAAGACGGTCCAAGAGCGGTTCGAGATCCTCACGAGGCCTCCCGGTGAAGCCCCCCAAGATAAGACAGCCCCCAAAACAAGCCACCAGGGTTCCCAGAGGCCCCAAAATGCTCCAAGATGGCTGAGAGTCGCCCAAATCCCGCTCCAAGACGCCCACGATGACATACTGCCCAAGGAACCTCCAACACGTCCCAAGAAGCCTCCAAGAAGAGGTGTCCCAAGAGGGCCCCAAAAAGCAAAATACATGATTTTCCAAAGGTTGTTGCTTGATTGTAGCGTTTCTGTATTGCGAAGGCCTGACGGCCGGTGCCGACAGAGGCCGTGGAAGATGAAGAGGAGGAGGAGGAGGAGGAGGAGGAGGAGGAGGAGGAGGAGGAGGAGGAGGAGAGGAGGAGGGGGAGGAGGAGGGGGAGGAGGAGAGGAGGAGGAGGAGGAGGAGGAGGAGGAGGAGGGAGGAGGGGGAGGGAGGGAAGGAAGAGGAAAGGAGGAGGAGGGGGAGAGGGAGGCAAGCTGGGTGCGCTCGCGTCATAACTGACATCCTACCCCTCCCACCCATCCCTTACCATGGCGTAGATCCCCTCTCTACTCGCACAGTCGGATGTCGAGCAGGGCAATGATCCCGAAAGGGTACGCGATGCATTGTAGAACACGGCATGGCATGGCGTAGAAGAGCACCGCAAAGCGTAGTATCAACCTAGCATTGCATTGCATGCCGTGGCATGGCGCGGGAAATGACGCCAGCGCTGCAGCGGGAGCACGAGTCGGAACGAGCGGAAGCGCGGAGATGAGGCCAGCGCTGCAGCGGGAGCACGAGTCGGAACGAGCGGAAGCACGGAAATGAGGCCAGCATTGCAGCGGGAGCACGATTCGGAACGAGCGGGGCCCGAAAATGAGGCCGGCGCCTCAGCGAGAGCAGCATTTTGAAAAAAATGCAGGCGAAAACCCAACTCCGGGGAACCCTGTGTGTAAAACAACAGTACGCGGGGGGGGGTCGAACATTTTCAAACCGTCATCAGGGGAAGAGGGAGAGTAGTATTCATATTGAGTAATTGCAGAAGGAGGAGGAGGGAGGAGGAGGGAGGAGATTCATGGAGGTGGAGGTTGGAGCAGGAGGGGAAGGAGGAGGAGGAGGGAGAAGGAGGAGGAGGAGGAGGAGGAGGAGGAGGAGGAGGTGGAGGTGGAGGTGGAGGTGGAGGAGGAGGAGGAGGAGGAGGAGGAGGAGGAGGAGGAGGGAGGAGGAGGAGGAGGACAGGGCGGTGGCGGGAGAATGAGGAGTTAGAGGAGGAATTGGAGGAGGAGGAGGAGGAGGAAGAGGAGGAGGAGGAGGAGAAGGAGGAGGAGGAGGAGCAGGAGGGTGGCCGAAGAGAGATCTCCGGCGGCGCCCGAAAGCCTCGATTTTCGAGCCTGGGGTTCCGAGTCCGCAGAGTGAGCAGGAGGAGGAGGAGGAGGAGGAGGAGGAGGAGGAGGAGGAGGAGGATGAGGAGGGGGAGGGGGAGTTGTTCTACATGTTCAGTCTTTTTGTCATTTTCGGCATCCAGGGCCATTCTGGGAACCGGGAAGCCGCGCGGGGTTCCGGAACCGCGCGGGGACCGCGCCGGACGCGCGGGGAGTGAAAGCGTGTCTGGGTGGCGACACCCCACGTGCGGGACCCCCCCCGGGACCCCCCCGGGACCCCCCGGGCCCCCCCCCATCCGCCGGGGAAGGGACCAAGGGAAGGGGCTTCCCTTTGACGTGGTTACGACATGTGCCGATTTCCCTCAAGCCCGCTAGAGCACTGCGACGACGACGACGACGACGACGACGACGACAACGACGAACGGCACAGCCCCTCACACACGCCGACAGGGTCGGCGGATTTGCAGTTTCCAGACGCCCAAACACGGTCCTAGACGCCACAAGTATCGCTCCAGCACGGCCTCAGAAGCTCCCAAGCGGGCGCCGAGTCAGCCGATGAAGGCGCTCTATGGGGACCCCGGCCCTCCAGGGACGCCCCCAGACAGCCGAAGACAGCCCCCAAAACAGGACAGCAGGGTTCCCAAAGGCCCCAAAACGCTCCAAGAGGGCCGAGAACCGTCGAAATCCCGCTCCAAGACGCCCACGATGGCTTCCAGACGGCCGAAGGAACCTCCAACACGCCCCAAGAAACTTCTAAGAGGCAAAACAGGACGCCAGGGCCACAAGTGGCCCCAAAACGCCCCTGGAGGGCAGAGAATCGCCGGAATGCCGCTCCAAGACACCCAACATGGCTTCGAGACGGCCCAAGAGGCCTCCAAGACGCCCCAAGAGGCCCCCAAGAGGCGTCCAAAGTGGATCCCAGGAGCCAGAATTAATGCATTTTCCTAGTGTTTTGGATGGGTTTCAGCGTTTCTGCACTTCCAGCTTCACGACGCTCCAACACGGTCCTCGACGCCCCAAGCATCGCTCCAGCACGGCCTCAGAGGCGCCCAAGCGGCCGCCCAGACGGCCGTTAAAGGCGCTCTACGGGTGAATCCTGGGCTTCTGAGGACGCCCCCAGACGGCCCAAGACAGCCCCCAAAACACAGGACACCAGGATTCCCATCAGGGCCCAACAGGCTCCAAGAGGGCCGAGAATCGCGGGCATCCCGCTCCAAGACGCCCACGATGGTTTCCGGACGGCCCACGGGGCCTCCAACACGCCCCAAGAGGCTCCAAGAGGCTTTTCAAGTGGGCCCCAGGAGCCACACCGCCCCAGAACAGCCCAAGACGCGCCCAAGAGAGCCCGAAGACTGCCCCAGACGGCTCCAAGAAGGCCCAGGACGGCCCAGGACGGCCCCTGCAAGCCCCCAGGGGGGCCCAAAAGAGGCCCAGGTATACTCCAGACGCAGCCACAACCACCCCAGAACAACCCAAGAAGCCCCCAAGAGCCCGAAGAGGGCCCAAGAGTGCCCCGAGAAGGCTCAAGACATCCCAGGAAGGCTCCTGCAGGCCCCCGGGGAGGCCCAACAGAGCCCACGGAAACCACAGTTCCGGATACGGCACAGAAAAGCCCCAGGGCAGCCTCAAGCCTCAAGAGGCTCCTCACATCGCTCAAAGTGCCACCAAAACGGCCTGAGAGCCCTCCAAAACGGCTTCGGGTCTTGCGCCCCAGTGTGGCCCAAACACTCTCCCAGGTGCCCCAGAGGCGCCCGTCAGATGACAGAAGACGCACCTCAGGTGGGTGACGGCTCCGGAAGACCCCCAGAGGGGCCCAAAGGAGACCCCTAGACACTCCGAAGAGCTCCCGCGGACGCCCCCAGCTCCCGCGGCCTCAGACGGCTTCTCACATTGGTCAAAGATGCCCCACGAGGCCTCCCCAAGAGAGCCCCGACGAAGCCACAAGACGTCCCCACCACGGCCTCAGAGCCCTCCAACACGGCTTCGGGTCTTGTGCCCCAGTGTCCGATCCGCTTTGGCTCGATCCGATTCGAGTCCGATATTCAGGCGATCTGGTGCCGCCCGATGCTCACATGGCGACGTTGTGCATCCCGGCGCGGCCCATCCGGTTCGATCTCGATTCCGTGCCAGCGCGGCCCGATCCGAGTCGCAGTCCGATCAGCAAGCTCTCCGGAAACATCTTCCGGCAACGCATGCTGCCTCCGTAAACGAAACCCGAAGAGACTCCCGAAAATGTACCCCGAAGGCTCTCTGGGGACGCCATGTGCCCGAAGATGTACCCCGAAGGCTCTCCTGCTCCTCCTCCCCCTCGTCCCTCGTCCCTCTCCTCCTCCTCCTCCTCCTCCTCCTCCTCCTCCTCCTCCTCCTCCTCCTCCTCCTCCTCCTCCTCCTCCTCCTCCTCCTCCCTCTCCTCCTCCTCCTCCTCCCTCCCTCCTCCTCCTCCTCCTCCTCCTCCTCCTCCTCCCTCCTCCTCCTCCTCCTCATGCTCCTCCCCCCAAGAGGCCCCAGGCAAACTCCAGATGGGCTTCCCGCGCGCTCCAGAGGAGATCCAAAGAACCCTAGGAGGGATCATGGAGGCCCGCAGACGACCCCAAGAGGCCCCCGAGAGGTTCCAAGAGGGCCGACGAGGCCCCGTCAGACGTTTCCCGCCGGCTCTCGGAACATTTTCCAGGAACATATGCACGGGCTCCAGCGGGAGATCCGCCATGACGACGCATCCGAATGTTCCAGCGGTCGTCCAACATCGAGTTTGCAATTGGGAACGTTTGCGGTAAGGCCTACGCGAGCGCGAAGTTGCGTGGTTGATAGGACGGAAGCAGTGTATGATGACTGTGCGGTCACGGCGGAGCTCTTCATAGATACAGCGTGCTGGGATTCACCGTGGTGGCGGGCAGCCCTGAATCAGCTCTGACTAGAACCTGAAAGCGCGCGAAGGGCGCGCGCGTTTCTAGTGTGTGTATATATATAGACATGTAAACAATAGACACCCGCCTGGGGTGGCAAATTTCGCAGCCATCTGGGAACACTTGTTGATACCCTCCCAGTTCACTTCCAGAGGCGGCCCGAAGAGGCCAAGGGGACCCCAAGACGGGACAAGAGGGCTCCAGAAAGCGCCCAATAGGGTCCAAGAGGCCTCCTAGATAGCCCAAGAGCGCTCCAAGAAGCCTACGATGGCCCCAAGACGGCCAAGAGGCCCCAAAGAAGCCCCAGGAGCGCTCCAAGAGGACCCAGGGCCAAAAGAGGCAACAATAATTGACTTACTGTATGCTTCTGCATGTTTTCGCGATCTCGCGTTATGCTTCCGTCGCTCCAAGATGACCCCAGAGGCTCCTAAGACCGTCCCAAGATGGCTCAAGAGGCCGCCAAGAGACCACCAAGTGGGCCCCGAAACGGTCCAAGAGGGCCCCAAAGCGGCCCAAGAGGCGCCCAAGATCGCCCAAGAGGACCCCAAGGTGGACTCAAAGAGGGGCCCAAGAGGGTGCACACGAACCAACAATTCGAGCTTCCCGCCCCCACTTAGCAGGGCTGGCTTCGATCCGATCGATTCGATTCGATATCGATTCTGGCCGGCTCGATCCGAGTCGATTCCGACGTTCCGGCGATCCGATACGGCCCGACGTTTGGCTTGGCGCTGGTGTGCACCCTGGCGCAGCCGACCCGATTCGATCTCAACTCAGTGCCGATGCTCAGGAGCGAAAGAAGGACGTACACGTACATGAATCCACGCTGGTTTCGAGAGTACGCATTGCGCAAGTGTTTGTATAACGCGGCCAGTCTCGCGGATCGAGGGGCCGTGCTCATGTAAATAGCTGGGCGCGTACGTCCTTTGTGGGCTCCCTAGATGCAGCCCGAGCCGGCGCGCGTTCCGATCCGGTCCGATCTCCCGATTCGAAGCCGACTGGTCCTGCCTCGGGCGACGCCGAGTCCAGCTGGAGCAGGCCCAGTTGGAGCCAGGGCGCTCGAGCTGCTGGGTCTGCAACTGTTACCAGCCTGGAGCATGTCCCTATCCTTAATGCTGGGCACCTCCTCATCACGATGCAGTCTTAGGGATTTCCTTGTGTTTTGAGGGCGACTCCCTAAGATTGTCATCGCCTTTTGGCGTGTCAATCTTAGGGATAGGGATACGTTCGAGGCTGATAAAACTGGACTCGGCCCATCCTCGGCGTCACCCCAGCATTCTGATGCTGTGCGTGCCTCGCCACCCCATGGGGCGACGCGCGCGCCAGGGAATCTGGCAGTACGAGCTCCGTGGCGGGCGCTCCCTGGCCACATACCCTTCGGGGAGCGGTATGCAGTGAACCCGAACAGGGAGGACGGGCAGCCGTCGCAGGGGCCGGACGAAAGGGGGGGATTGGGAAAGGGGGGGTTACGAAGTCTGCTGCATGCAGCTGGTTTCGGCCCCACCGAGGGGCCCATTCCTCGATACATAGCCGCCTTCGGCGCCGGGAGGCGCTGGGAAAATCAGCTAGGTGAGCTGATTCACAACCCCCCCCTTTGCTATCCCCCCCTTTCGCCCGACCCGACAGGGTACCCGTGCATCCTCCTTGCCTCCTCGGCCCATCCTCGGCCACTCTCGCTGGCCGCGCCCCGCTCGAGAAGCTCTTCGACGTGGCCTTGCAAGGCCCTTGCATCCTTCTCGCGCAGCCTAGCGACACTGGTCGACTGTACTGCAGCATGGCTGGTTGTACTGGACACTCGGCTCGGACGCGCGCCTCCAAGGCGCGGTCGAGGCCCGCGCGCGCTCGCGCCAGGCCCTGTGGCTGCCCAAGTCCCCGCGGCCCCACCCCGGAGCCGCCCTGCCGCCCCCTCGGCAGCGGCGCGGGGGGGGGGGGGGGGGCGGCCCCCGGAGGACCCCCGCCTCCACGTGCCCTCCCGCGTCCCTGCTCCCTCTCCCCCTCCCCTCCCCCCATCTCACCACTCCCCTCCTGCCCTCCTCCACCCTTCCTCCCCCCCCCTCCTCCCCCCTGCTTCCACCCCCCCCCGTCTCCACCTCCCCTCCCCTCCCCCCCTCCTCCTCCCCATCCTCCCCTCCTCCCCGCCTTCTCCCCCTGCTCCTCTCCTCCCTCCCTGCTTCCCCCCCCTCCTCTTCTCGCCCCTCTGCTTGGCACGAGGTCTCGAGGAAAACTCTCCTCCTCCTCCCTCCCCCCTTGGCCTTCTTTGGACTTCTGCTGGAGCCTTGTGGGGCGGCTGAGTAGTCGTGGAGGCTTCGTCGGTCTTTCTCGAAGGCTCCAGGTGTCCCTTCAGGTGATCGGCGGGAGTTCCGGCGACTTCCCGCGAGCCTCAAGGCTAGAGAGGAACAGCGACTTGCATACACATAGATTTTCGGACCTCCGAACATCAGCGGTGCGGGCCAAAACTGCGGCCCGCCACACTTACGCACGAAACCGAACCGAACACAAATCTTGGGCCCGGCTGGGGGGGACCCATCATCCACACACGTGGCAGTACCGGGATTTTTCTTGCCAGCAGCGATGTGAGAGCACGTCGCGCTACAGTCAATACTGTTAGTAAGGATGCGCGACATGTCTGCAAGACCCTTGGGCGCCATGCCGATGCTTTTCGAGTGGGGCTGGCAATCGAGAGTGGTGAGGGATGGACCGAAGAGGCAAGGATGCAAGTGTACCCGTCTTGCCATCGCACAGACGTCCATTCCCCGTGCATTGTCCTTTGACGTGGGCTTTTTCTTCTCAAGATTAGGGGACCAACAAGCATATACCGACACCGTTCGCCAGAAAACCGTCCAAGCAAACATCCTGTGGGCGCCCCCCTCACGCGCCCCCACAGAAGCTCTGTTTCCTCGTTTGTAAGATATCGGAGCATGCGCGTGGCCATCCTGTCGCCGCCTATACAGCCTACCCCGCCGAGAAAACGACCGCGGAAGCATTCGACGCGATAACTTCTTGTGCCCTCTTGGGAGCGTTTCGGGGCCCCAGCACGGCCCCCGCGGCCTCCAGGATGGCCCCGCGAGGGTCATAACAGGTTCTAAAAGGAATCCCAATGAGCCCCTGGTCCAACTCCACAGCGTGAAATTCGACACGATAACTTCTAGTGCCCTTTGGGGGGCAGTTCGGAGCTTCCAAGACGGCCCCGGAAAGCCCCGAGAGGGCCCCAAGAGAGGGATAACCTGGACGGGTAATCATCGGGGAGAGGGAGTAACGGAACCCTCTCGGAACATTGGGGGCCGTTTTAGGAGCCCTAAGAAGCTCCCTAAAGGGGACTGAGAAGACTCCGCCGTGCCGCGTAGGCTTTGCCAGGCAGTGAGCTGGCCACCGAGGGGTAGAGGTCACACGGGCCCGTTCCCAGGATCTCCTTGCCCCCCAGACCGCTACGAGATTTTGGGGCTACGAAAAGTCTGCAGGACCGCGCCCGGCGTTTCCAGCGGGGCGCTCAGTTATCCTCATTATCTTTCTCCTCCTCTTTCCTCCCTCTTCCCTCCCTCCGTACAAGTGCATCGCGCACTGGCTTCGTCGGCTGGGCGAGCTCGCCGCGCACGCTGGGCTCGTCGGCCGCGCGAGGAGCGGGGAAGTCGGCAAGGCCTGCGCAGGCGGAAGGTTCCTGATCCGAGGCGCGTTTAGTTTCCTTTCTGGAAGGGGCCCTCGCGTTCGGCGTTGATGGCCGGAGCAGTATATGGTATACGTGCGTGCGATCGGCTTGCTCGAAACAGATCCCCTCCACCTCCCCTGAACGACCCTGCTGAGTCAACCTCATCCCTCTTCCCTCCTTTTCCCTCCTGCTCCTACCCTCCTGTTCCCTCCTCCCTCAATATCGCCCCCTGGACCTGCCCTTGGGCGCGCTCCAAAGCAAGCGAGCGCATCCAGTCGTGGCAGCAAGGGCGCCTCAGGCGGCCCGCTCAAACCCTCGAACATCGATCCTCGAACCTCCTCCATCTCCTCCTGCTTTCCCTCCGCCACCTCCCTCCTCACAGCTCTCCCCCTTCCTCCCGCCCCCCCCCTCCGTCTCTCCAAGGGTTAGTCGGGCCCCGACTCTCTACAGGAGGAATATTCAAAAATAGTCAAAAAATAGTATGGGGACTATTTTTTGAATATGTTTTAGCAATTTTTTGAGTATTTTGTGGGGTATTTTTTATTTTTCATCGACAATCCCCCCGTAGGGGGACGCGCCCGACGTCTCTCTGAGGCAGCTGCCCCTGGGGGCCGTCGACCACGCCCGGCGGGGCGGCGCCCCGGCGGCAAGGCCCAAGGCGCGCGCGCGGCCGCGCCGGGAGGGGGTATATTTTTTTTTATTGTTCATCGACAATCCCCCTGTGGGAGGCACGCGCCCGGCTTCTCACTGAGGCAGCTGCCCCTGGGGGCCGTCGACCACGCCAGGCGGGGCGGCGCCCCGGCGGCAAGGCCCAAGGCGCGCGCGGCCGCGCCGGGAGGGGGGGGGGGGGCAAGGAGGGGGGTGATGACCAAGGGGGGGGGGATATCTCTAGGCCTCCCAGATGGGGTCCGAGTAGATGGGGTCGGGGGATCGCGTCGTATCGCCGATGCATCGGCGATGCGGCTCTATGTGGAGCCCGTGTTTCCCCACGCCGACATCGCCGATGCATCGCCGACGGCGCCGATGCATCGCCGCTGCATCGCCGATGCATCGCCGATACATCGGCGATGCAATGGCGATGCGGCGCGATCCTTCGACCCTACCTACTCGGACCCCATCCAGGAGGCCTCTAATATCATGGCGGGGGCCATGATATTTCCCCAGATCTCATGGCGCCTCCTCTTGCTTCATTGCGTCCCTGGCCCCCCCCGCTGGGCCGCGCACAGGCCGCCGGTCATGTTTGCACCCCCCCCCTTTTGGACACCCCCCTCGTGGCCGCTCCCGAATTGCAAGCAGAGCGGCCACTCTACAACCAGATGGGGCCTTTCACAACCAGCATGGATTTTCCCGGAAGGGCACTCTGCAACCAGGAAGGCCACTCTACAACCAGGCATCTGCGCGCACACACACGCGACACACGTACTTCAATGTCAGAAATCTCCGTAATTCCACGCAAGGGAGACAGTTCGCTCTCTGAAGCGCGTTGGTTGTAAAGTGACTCGTCTGAAGCGAGAATCTGTGAAACGGCGGATTCCGAATGGAATCCAACGGGGATCCCATTGGAATCCTATTGGCACTCTTCCCACTGGGATCCTGTTGGCACAAGGTGAATCCCACTGGTATCCAACAAGATTCCTCGCTATGGGGCCTACGGGTGTCCTATTGGAATCCGATAAGGACGCTTCCTATTGATACCAGTCGGGGTCCTTCCTAATGGAAACATGTTGGAAACCCCATTGGATTACAATCGAGGAATTTTCCTATTGAAATGCTGCGGGAACGCACTAGGGTACTACACGGAAGCCCGGTGGGGAGTCTTTTGGGTTCTTCAGTAGGAACCGTTTCTCTTGGAAGCCCATCGGAACCATCTCGGCGAATGCGAAGGATATCGAATTGCAGTTCAATCTGAATCCTTCCTTTTCGACTCATGCGGGCATACTACTGGGATCCCAGCAGGACCCAGCTGTAACCCAGGAGGAACCTGTCTTCTTTGAACCAAACTGTGCCCCCGATTGGGGTCCAATTGTAATCCTTGTGGCACCCATGAGCTATTGGAACCCAATTGAGATCCTATCGAGACCCTCCCGCTAAAGGCTGGTGGCGGGCTTGGGCGGTTTAAAATTTTTTGTTGTTGTTTTTGTTTCCATCCATGCCCTGAATATGCACCGGTCTTGGAGCTTCATAACCTCTGCCGGAAAATTTGTTTCTTATGGCAATAGAAGGGCACTGAGCGTTCGCCGCAAACTACGCAGAGGAGCACGCACGCCCCGAGGAAGGCTGGAACGTGGGCAAGAAGTCGCTGGCAAAGTTCTAGACTCTACATGCGGATCTCACATTTTGCACCATGGACATCTTATACCCTCGCGCCTCTTCGTCTGGCAACGTCGCAACCGTATTTTTGCGCATGTTTGGAAACATGCGCACCCAGGAACGCGGAACTGCGGTCAAGAAGTCATTTGCATCATTCTAGCCAGCACATGTGGAGTTCAAAATGTTGGTTATTCTGTAGCATCAACCACGCTTGTCCTCGCGCCTCATCGTTGGGCAATCGCACAAATAACAACATGCGCTCAATCATATGCGCGCGCGTACCCAGGAGGGCGGAAGTGTTGCCAAGAAGTCGATGGTAGAGTTCTAGCCGACGCATGTGGATTTTAATGTGATTTGGTTTCGCAGGCAACTTGTGCGCTCGCGCCCCGTCGCCTGGCAATCGCAAAACCGCATGTCGGTGCATTCGCGGTTGCATGCGTGCCCAGGAGGACGGGAATGCGGAAAAGAAGCCGATCAAATGTGTTTCTTGTATCCTAAACCACGTTTCTTCTCGCGCCTCATCGCCTGGCGATTGCGGAAGCATGCGCGCCCAGGAGGGCGGACATGTGGCCAATCGATCGAGGGTAACGTTCGAGCCACTACGCGCGGATGCCAATTTATTGTTTTTGGTATCGCAGGTAATTTGCGCCCTCGCGACTCACCGTCCGGCAATCGCAAAACCGCATGCGTTCGCATTCGCGGAAGCACGCGTACCCAGGAGGGCAGAAATGTGGCCCAGAAATCGCTTGTAAAATTCTTAGCCAATGTGTGTGGATTTCAAGTCGTGGGCTTCTTTGCACAATTTTCCACATTTGTTTTCGCGACCCATCGTCTGGCCAAAGCAAGCCGCATATTTGCGCAATTGCGGAACCATGCGTACCCAGGATGGCGGAAATCTGCCCAAGAAATCGCCGATTAAATTCCAGCCGCTGCATGCGGACTTCGATGTGCATCGTTTGGTCTCGCAAGCAGTTTTTGTTTTTGCGCCGCATCGATCGGCAATGACAATACCTTACGTTTTCGCATTCGAGGAAGCATGCGCATCCAGGAGGGCGCACACGTGGTCAACAAATCATTGGCAAAAGTCCCGCGAGAGGCATTCGGGCGCGCAGAAGCCGCCGCTTGAGCGCTCGGGTGCTCAGGAGCCTCTGCAAAACGCTCGGGCGTCCAGAAGCCTCTGTAGAGCGACCAGGCGCTCAGAAGCCTTTGCAAAGCGCTCAAGTGCTCCGATAGATGCCTCCGCAGAGCGCTCAGGCGCTCAGAAGCCTTTGCAAAGCTCCCAGGCGCTCGGAAGCCTCTGCAGAGCGCTCCGGCGCTCAGAAGCCTCTGCAAAGTGCCCAGGCGCTCAGACGCCACTGCCGGGCGCTCAGGCGGTCGCAACTCTCGGCAGAGCGCCCAGGCGCTGAAAAGCTTCTGCAGAGCGCCCAGGCGCTCAGAAGCTTCTGCAGAACGCTCAGGCGCTCGGAAATCGTTGCGAAACGCCCATGCGGTCACAGTCCTCTGCAGAGCGCTGCAGCGCCCAGAAGCTTCTGCAGAGCCTTCAGGCGCCCAGAAGCTTCTGCGAAGCGCCCTGGCGCTCAGAAGCCTCTTCGGAGCGCTTAGGCGCTCTGAATATTCTGCAGAGCGCTCTGGCGCTCTGATACTTCTGCAAAGCGCTCAGGCGCTCAGAGAACTTTGCAGAACGCTCGGGCGCTCGGAAGCTTCTGCAGAGCGCCCAGGCGCTCAGGAGCCTCTGCAGAACAACCACGCGCCCAGAAGCCTCTGCAGAACACTCAAGCGCTCAGAAACCTCTGCATAAGTCTCAGGCGCTCAAAAGCTTTTGCGGAGCGCCTAGAAGCCTCTGCAGAACGCTCAGGGGCTCAGAAGCCTCTGCAGAAATCCCAGGAGCTCAGAAGCCTCAGACGACTCCGCTGAGCGCGCACGCGCTTCGGAAGGCTGTTTGTAAAGTGACCGATATGGTTGCAAAGAGCCCCGCATGGGTTGTAAAGTGATTGCTATGGTTTTAAAGTGGGTTGTTCTGGTTGCAAAATGGGTCGTTCTGGTTGCAAAGTGGTCGTTCTCAAAGGAAACCGTGGATGTCGATCCTTTGCTGGTTGTAAAGTGACCAATCTCGGTTATAAGGTGTCCTTCTGGTCGTACAGCACCCGGATCTCCCCAGGGGGGGATTTGGATTGCACTCCCGATTATCCGTCTCGGCTGTCAGATGATGGCGGCGCTCGCTGGCTATAGTTGCGCACGGACAAGACACGAGCAGATTATTAGCATCGGCGCCAAGGGAAAAAAGTATATAGCCCCGGAGGGCGGCAAATACAGCCAGTGCCACACGCGACAGGTCAGAACAGGGAAGGGTGAGTGTGTGTGTGGGGGGGGGGGGATGGCGGCGAGGGCCTGCGGCAGCAATGGAGGACGGGGCGGGGGCGCGAGGGCGGAGGCCTGGAGGTTGGTGCCAGCACCAGTGTCGGCGGCTGCCTGGTCGTTGCGCTGGCAGTAACATTCTCGGGCCTCTCGGAGGGCCGAGGGCTGACCAACGGCACCAGGATCATCTTGCCCCGATGGAGGCAAGCCTTTGCGTTAACGTTGGCGCCCACCTCCAGGCCCCAAAGGGAGGGCGGAGGCCATGGATGGCCTCCCCTCGCGTCGCGAGCATAAATGCGGAAGAAAGTTTTTAAGCCGTCTTGACAGGGCCCACGGGGGAAGGGGGGGGGCGGAACCAGCGGCGCGCCCGAGACAGCTGGAGCCTCTACACATCTCCCGAAGGTGTCGGACGGGGCGGGGACGGGAGAAGGCGCGTCAGCAGCTGCCGACGGGGGTGCAGAGAGGGGCGGCATGACGAGGCGAGGAGGAGGTGGGGGGGGGCGGAGGAGGAGGAGGAGGGGAGGAGGAGGGAGAGGGAGGGAGGAGGAGGAGAGGAGGAGGAGGAGGAGGAGGAGGAGGAGGAGGAGGAGGAGGAGGAGGAGGAGGAGGAGGAGGAGGAGGAGGAGGAGGAGGAGGAGGAGGAGGTGGGGGGGGGGGGGGGGCGGCGGCGAGGGCGACGAGGACGAGGGCGGCGGCGGGCGCCCCCCCTGCGCCCGCAGCGCCCGTCGAGCTGCTCGTCGGGCGTCCTCGGCGCGCTGTCCCCGCCGAGGACGGCCTCTTTGGTGTTTTTGTTTCGGGCTGCAGCGGAGGACGGCGGGGGCGAGGGCGTGGAGGAGAAGGGAGGAATGCGACGACGACGACGACGAGGAGGAGGAGGAGGAGGAGGAGGTGGAGGAGGAAAACGAGGGTGGACGAGAAAGAGGAGAAGGAGGAGGAGGAGGACGACGACGACGAGGACGACGAGAGTGACGAGGGAGGGCTTCCCCGCCGTCCTGTATTGGGAGACGGGGCGAGGGAGGGGGGTTGCGGAAGGGTGAGAAAAGATGGAGGGGATGATCCGATGGCCAGTCGAGATAGCGGCGCACTTCCCCGGCGTTTTCCGCAATGTGTGGGTGTCTCTGGATGCTGCATCGCCGATTCAAGGTCGGTGCTTCCCTCCCTGAGCTAGTCCCCCCCAGGGTTCCTCCCGTTCTCCAAATTCGATTTCCGCGCGGTCAGGTTTGACTATTGAGGAAACGCGAACATGAATTAGTGCACGTGGAGGAGCGACGGGTCCCGCTTCCGCTGAAAAATCGGCGCGCGCCGACGCCAAATCAGGCTGCTGCCCTGGCTTCGCGCTTCGGGGAGGGCTGCTTTCCCCCCGCGCCCACGTGCCAGATCCTCGGATCTGTGATCTGCGTTGGCGTGTGCGTGATTGGTAGGTCGAGTCTGCAGGATCAGGGGTGCTTTATGTCCTGCCGCGGCCCCGTGTCGTCCCCATGCCCCTGTGGCAGAGGCTTCGCTTCGAAGGAGCATTGTGCACTCTCGGGTGTCTCCTACAGAGGGGTCATGGCTGCACCCGTCTCCAGGCCGCCCAAATTAGGTCCGAACAGAGGGTTGGATGATCGCGCCGCACCGCCGATGCATTGGCAATGCGGCTCGATCTGGAGCCCGATTCTCCCCCTCCCTCTCCTGAACTGATTGACCCATGATCCCAGACATCCGACGCCGTTTTTTTCACAACGGTGCTCCCCAGATACCTGGACCCCTTCCCTGGGACCCGCTCTTTATCCCGAGTCGTTTTCCGACGGACCCGGGCAGTGGGACGAGAGCCTCGAGGCGGATCCGGCCGCGGCGGCCAGCAGCACCCCCCAGCGGTCAGCGAACGGGGCGACCGAGAACGACGCGGACTGGCCAGCGCGCAGGAGGGGAGGCACAGGGCAGACGGGGAGCAGAGGCCAACACACGTCAAGCAGAAGCAACGGGCCTCGGCGCTCGGCGTGCGGGCTTGTCGGGGCCCCGCGGGCAGGCACATGCCGGCTTCGGCCGCACGGACGGGGCCAGGACGTGGCTGCCTCCGGCGCGCCCGGAGCAGGCCGCGGCGACCGAGACACACTCTTTGAGCCGCGGGATCTGCGACGCTCTCGCCTTCTCCTCGCCCGATGCTCTCCTCGTGCTGGCCTCGCCCTCTTCGGCGCGCGGCGTCGCGGCGGCGGTCCGCGGCCCGCGCGAGCGGCGCGCCGCGGCCCAGGGCCGGCGGCGCCTCGAGCCCGACCTTGCACGGCTGGCCGCCGGAGGCGCGCGGGGCCGCGCACGGGCGCGTGGCCCTGGGGGGCTGACCTGCATAGGGGGTGGGGGGGTACAGTCGGGGCGCTGGACAAGGAACCCTTTTCGTTGGGGAGGGGCTCGGTGTTCCTTGATTGTTTCACAGCTTGCCTCAGGGGTTTTCCTTATGTTTTCGATGGGAGATCGAAGTTGGACTTATGGGAAAAAGGTGCCTCTTTCCTTACCCATCGGTCGTTGAAAGTAGGTATTTTTGGGTTCCCAGATTCCAATCTACTTTCAGCGCCTTCCTACTTCAAGAGTCGAGTGGTTTTCCCTCTTCCTTCCTCTTCAGGAGGCGTGCGGAAACCCCATCTATTTCCAACGCCTTTCTACTTCATGTTTCTACCTACTTCTTCCGACCGATGGGTATTTAGGGTTCCTTAGGTCAAGGCTCGGACTGTAGGAGAAGAGCCCTGGAGGAACCGTTTCGTGCTCCTGTCGGAGCCGGCAGGGGCCCCAAAGGGCCCCCTTCAGGGCCACGCGCTCCACCCCTCATGTGGGTCCACCTTCCAGCACCACCCGCCCGAAGGGCTGCGGGAGGGCAGGGCTGTCACTCGTTCGCCTGCCAATGGACGTCAGCCTACTGTGAAGGCCTCGGGGCCGGTGCCGCCGACCAGAAGACGATGACTACGACCACGACCAAGACCACAACGACAACGACGACGACGAGCTCATGAATTTGCCACAGGCTCGGGGCATTGGCGGGTGGTGGGGGGGGGAGGAGGAGGAGGAGGAGGAGGAGGAGGAGGAGGAGGAGGAGGAGGAGGAGGAGGAGAGAGGAGGGAGGAGGAGGAGGAGGAGCAGAGGAGGAGCAGGAGGAGGAGGAAGCAGGAGCAGGAGCAGGAGCAGGAGCAGGAGCAGGAGCAGGAGCAGGAGCAGGAGGAGGAGGAGGAGGAGGAAGGAGGGGGAGAAGAAGGGGGAGGGAGGAGGAGGAGGAGGAGGAGGAGGAGGAGGCCTCAAGACTGTTGTAGGACCTGCAGGCCTGCAAGGACCTCAGACTGTTGTATGAGAGGGTTGCCCGTGTCAGGGAAGTCTTACCTCACCCGGATGCGTGCCCTGAGGCGTGGTAGGCGTTTCTGCGACCACGCCGGGGAATGGGCTTCGCTCGTGTCACAGCTCTTCTTCCTGGATTCTGTCTGCGACAATCAACGGGCCAGTGAAAGTGCGCAGCCGCCGGTTGCTTCGTTCTCGTGCCCGCACTGCAGTGGCAGAGCTTTTGGGACCAGGCAGGCTTTGTTAACGCACATGCGTGTCAAGCACGGCGTGAGGAATGTCATGCGTATGTATGTTGGCCGCGATTGTAAGTGCCAGGCGTGCCAGACTGTTTTCTTGACAAGACTCCGACTGCTTGATCACCTGCATAGACAGGCCAACCAGTGCGGTGAATGGGTGATGGCCAATTGTGCACCTTTGCATGGAGAAGAAGTCGCTGCGTTAGATGAAATTGACGCGCTGGCGCGCCACTCTGCGCACAAAGCCGGGCTAAAACACCCCCAAAGCGGGGGGCCCGCTGTAAAGTCTGACGGAAGATTTGTCGGCCGAGTGTTCCTGTAAAGCGGGGGCCGAGTGGTGTTGTATCATCCTTCTGCGTCGCATCGAGCATAGCGCATGCAAAAAGGAGGAGGAGGAGGAAGGGGAGGAGGAGGAAAAGGAGGACCAGCGTAATCCAAAGACTGATCAGCGGTGTTGGAAGAATCCCTCCCAAGCTCCCTCTTCATAGTCTACAGCAAGTATTCATGTCCACTGAGAGAATTGGCCCGTTGGGAGACAACCGTTCCGAGATCCTGAAGCATGCCAAAACACCGTTCTCGGGACTCCAACGCCAGTCGACCTGATTGTTGCGTTTTGACGATCCATTAATCGTGCTAGAAAGCCATTTCTGAGATTTCAACACTGCGAATCCACGTAACTGCTGCGGCCTGTCAATGCTTGGTCGGTCGAGAAATTCTTCCACGTTAACCATGGAACCCGTGAAACTCCTGCAATTGTTTAAAACACATGCGCGCGGTGCGAGAGCCGCATTTTGAAAACGGCCAGCCCTCAATCCGTGGAGCTCTTGCAGCTTTTGAAGACGAATGCGCACGGAGTTAAGGCGAAGGCCACATTTTGAAAACGGCCCGCCCTCCATCCGTGAAGCCCTCTGCAGTTTTGAACGAATGTGCGCGGCGCCAAGGCGAGGGCCACGTTTTGAACACTGCCCGCCCTCCTGCGGAAGTGCTGCCGATCTTGAAGCTTCAGGATCATCAGTGGTGAGGGAGCCTCGGGCGGAACGCGAAACGCCAGGCCCGCCCTCCCGACGGGCCCCAGGGCACGACACGGAGGAGGAGCTATTCAGAAGGAAAAAAGCCGCCTGTCTCCTCGGAGGCGGGGCCGGAGCCCGGTACGGGGCCGGGGCCGGGGCCTGGGCCGGGGCGGGCCAGAGGCCAGGGCATTCAAACAGTGGCGAAGCGTCCTGGCTCGCCTAAAGCCCTGCCAAACAATGTTCCAAGAACCTTTTGTGGCTTCCACGAAATGTTCTTAGAACATTTCTGGCGGGGTCGGGGGCGGGCCTGCGTGAGAGCGCCCGCCCGGGGCCTTGTTGGCGATCCGCGAGGGCCCGATCGGGCGAGGCCGACTTGGCCGATCCACCCAATTTAGAAGGTTGTGCGAAGACTGCGTGTGATTGCACTTTCTGAGGGCCTGAACCGTTCCTTGCCCTCACGGTGTTTGGGGTGATTCATTGACCCCTGTCGTTTTTTATATATGAAAACACAAAACAAAAAATAATGTTTATAATCTCATGTTTTTCATGAAAAAACAGAGGTATAAACTTGTTGGGGACCTCTCGCGGTCGTCGACCGGGCGCCTGCCAAACTGGCGGGGGCCGCGAATGTCCGGGGCCCAACGTCGTTTTGGAGGTTGCGAGCGTTTCCGGCTCCGCTCTCGCCTCTTGCAGCATGCCTCCCAGGAGCCCTTGTTTCGCCATGGGGCGAGCGGCATTCGCGTGCCCCGGTGGGACGACCTCCGCTGCGACTGGCGCTGGAGGGCCCTGGGGGCGTGCACCGCGCCATGCCAGAGAATGAAGGAGTCTCTTCTGCATGGTCTGTCCGTTGCTCAACGCTGCGCGGGCTGGGCCGCGCGCCCCCGCGACAGCAGTCGAGCCCCGCGGAGGCTGCGGCGGCCTGCCACGGCCATCCGCAAGCTCACCTCCGAGCACGGAAGAGGCCTGGGGAGGCAGGCCCTCAGAGCCCTGAATCATCAGGGGTAACTCGGGTCAGGGATAACTCGGGTTCGTTTTTCGGGATTCCGAACCCGAGTTACCCCGGACCCGAGTTACCCCGGATAACTCGGGCGTCCAGAGCCCCACATCATCAGGGGTAACTCGGGTCAGGGCTAACTCGGGTTCGCCTTTCGGGATTCCGAACCCGAGTTACCCCGGACCCGAGTTACCCCGGATAAGTCGGGCGCCCAAGGCCCCCGCCAGGAGTTGGCGCGCCCATCTTCAGAGGCGCTGGCGCACGCCAGCTGCCAGGGCGCCGGCCGCTACAGACGGCGAGGCCACGGCGAGGCCACGGCGAGGCCACGGCCCGTGTGATTGCTCGGCCGGAGACATCCCTGCGGGGCGGAGGGGCAGGGCGCCGCGGCACCAGGCGAGTGAGAGGGGGGCCCATCCGGTGGGTCGGGCATGCAGACTGCTTGAACTTGGCTTCGCCAGCCTGTGTAGAAACGCTGTCCGTGCGCGACTTCTACCGGCGCCGAATAATTGATAGTATATCTGTGGATGTGTATTGCGAAGGCCTTCCAGGGCCGGCGCCGCCGACTTTGAAGGGAGACGACGACGACGACGACGACGACGACGACGACGACGACGACGACGACGACGACGACGACGACAACGACAACCGCGGCGGCGGCAACCGCGGCGGCGACAACGATGACGACGCTGACGTGGGCCAGAGTGCTCAGGGGTGGTTCTTGAGGTCTCTTCGGAAGTCTCTCGGGGGCCTCTTGGGAGCCTCTTGGGGGCCTCTTGGGGGCCCCTTCTGGTTTCCTGGGGACCTCTTGTGGGCCTCTTGGGGCCTCTTGGGAACCTATTGGGGCCTCCTGGGAGCCTCTTGGGGCCGAGGGCTCGAAATGTTCGTTCGGGTCCCCCGTCTGGGCACGCTTTTGGAGCCGTCTTGGGGGGCTCTTGGGCCGTCTTGGAGGCGTGTTGGGCTGGGGTCGTCTTGGGCAGTTTTGGTGCCCTCTTGGAGCATCTTGGACTGTCTTGGGGCGATCTTGGGGGCCTCTTGCGCCGTGTTGGAGCGGCGGGAAATGGAAAAGGCGAGAACGCCCAACTCTTTGAACAACCAACGGGCATCAAAACATTTCGCCTCTTGGGGCCCTTTCGGAAGTGCTCTTCGAGGCGTCTTGAGGCGTCCTGGAAGCCTCCTGGGCAGTCTGGAGGGCGTGAAGGCGTTTTGGACCGATTGTTTGGCGATTGGGGACCCTCCTGGACCGCTACGGCGGCCTTTTGGGGCACTGTTGGCCTGGTACTTTCTGAGGCCCAGGGCCCCCAGGGGGGGATGGGTATCTGACCCCCCCCGCCGGGACCCCCCCCGAGAATACCTCCCCGACGGGGGAGGGATCAAAGGGAAGGGGCTTCCTTTCGACTCGATTACGACATTGCTAGATGTTTCTCTCGCAGACAAGCTGGAGGAGGAGGGCAAAGGGAACGGGGACGACGGAGACGACGACAAACGGAGACGACGTCTCGAACAGACAGGCCCCTCACGCACGCGCACAGGATCGGTGGACTTGTTTGTGGACGCACACATGCATCACGGGCTTCGGCGCCGTGGCGCGCGACCCGCCGTCGGGTCGTCGCCGCGCCCCGCAATGGCGACCGCCGCCGCCGCCGCCACCGTCGGCCTCCTCGGCGGCCTCGGCGGCGCCGGCGCCGCGCCCGCCGCCCTCCGTGGGCAGGCGGAGAGCCAGCGGCAGGCCACAGTGGCCGGCCTGCTGCGCATCGCCGGGCACCCCGCCGCGGGGGCGGGGCAGCAGCGGTCGCCGAGCGGCCCCAAGGAGGCGCGGAGGGGCTCTCCCCGATCCCTGCGACGGCGGGCCTTGTCGTCGTCGACCGCCCGCCGCCGCCGTGTTCTGCGACGGCGTCTCTGCCGGTGTCGCCGGCGTCGTGGGGCGGGAGGAAGGCGACGAGACGTAAGAGTGGCCTCTGGTGCGGGCACAGACGGGTCCCCAGATGGCTGGAAACGAAGCGGGAGCAGCGGCTTGCGCGCCCAGGTGTGGCCCCCCCGCGGCCCCCAAAAAGCCGCGCACCAAAGGTCACTCTTACCCAGGGTCACTCTTGCGTGCCGCCGACGCCTTGGGGCGGAAAGAAGGGAGGCGAGAAGAGCAACATGAGGGCGAGACGAAAGGATGTCGGCACGATCGGCATGGGGGCGGAAATGCTCGAAACAAAAATCAACAACTGTTCTTGCCCTGTATGAACAGGATTCCTTGTTGGCGTTTCCGCGGACGCAGTCCGCTCGAGACAACGGGTCGCCCGCCCAACAGCGGCCTTCGTCGGTTTGGGATAACGTTTCTGTCAGACAGTGTGCCCGCTTCTTCCGTACCCAATCTGGGCGTGCCACGTACAGGCAGCCGCCCCCGTTTTTGTTGGTCGCCGTGGTCGCTCGCTTAGGGGACCACATGCGGACCCTGCCCCCACCCCCCACGATGTCTGAGGGGGAGGGTGGGGTTGACTCCGTTCGGGAGCTCCCGAGCGAAGTGAACCCCACCCTCCCCCTCAGAAGTCGTGGGGAGTAGGGGTAGGGTTCGCATGTGGCCCTCCATCGCTGTGGCGCGGCAGACTCGCACACCACGGGCCACGATGTCGCGGGTTGCCCCTGGGCCAGGGGCAAAACTCGCTCTTTCTTGTCGGCTGCTCCGTTGCTTCTGCCCGTCCTCCTCCCTCTGGGCACGTGAGGATCTGTCAAGCAGTGGCGAAGCGTCCTAGACCGCCTATAGGCCTACCAAAGAATGTTCCAAGAACCTTTGTATGGTCTCCACGAAATGTTCTTAGGGCATTTCTGGTCGAGATTGCCTTGTTTTGACACATCGGCCTTGTGTTCTAAGAACGTTGCCGTTGTTATTAGAACACCGTTGGGTTCTAAGAAGAACATGTCGTGGTAGGCCTACTCGGAATGCCCGGACGGGCGGCCCCTGCTCAAATATGTGCTTTGGCCCCCCTGGCCTTGCATCGGGTATAGCCAGGACCCCAGGTCAGGACACCCGGTGAGCGGTAGGGCCCCAGGGCCCTTGAATTGGCCAGAATCCCTAAGCCAGGCCTGCCGCAGCTGGTGCTCTTCGGGCGACGGCGGTTCCGGCTCGTGGCACGGGGCGGGGGGGGCGCCTCCCCCAGCACACATCCCGAAACCAGGTTCCACTCCACCCCGTTCCGCCACCGCCCGCTTGTGGCCCCCCTCGCTCCCCTCCCTCGCCGCGGCTCTGCCGGCGACGAGGGAGCCCAGGAGCCCCCGGGCCTCCTCCCGAGGAGCGGCCCCCCTCGCCGCGGGGGGCCGCCCGCGGGCCCCGAGGGCCATGGGCCCCCGGGCCCCTCGGGCGCCTCGATCTCGCCGGCCCCGTGGGCGCCGGAGCTCCGGGGCCCGTGCCTCGGGGCAGGGCTTCCGCCGCCCTTGGGGCAGGTCTTCCGCCACCCTTGGGCGACGACGACGACGGCGACGGCGAGGACGACGGCGACGGCGAGGAGGAGGAGGAGGAGGAGGAGGAGGAGGAGGAGGAGCAGGAGCAGGAGGAGGAGGAGGAACGGGGCTGCCCACGACCCCTGCCGCCCACCCGCGGGGCCGGCCATGCCCGGCCACTGCGGGGGCGCCGCGCCCTGCCCAAGCGTGGCCGTTGCTCCCCCCCCCGAGCCCGTGGCGTCTCCCTGGGGTCAGGGCACAGGCGCAGGACGCCGAGACCGAGGAAGGCGGAACGCCAGGACTTCGAAGCAGTCACGGCCTCGGAGGTGTGCGAAGGCAGGCCGTCGGACCCGCTGCCAGAGAGGCGCGAGCATGTGGTTCGCTTCTCTTCGCCACCCTCTGGAAATGCGCAGGGGGTTCTGGCTTCCTCGTCGTCGTCGTCCGCGTGCGCGCAGGAGAGAAGGAGGGGGAGGCAGGAGGACGAGCGAGGAGGAGGAGGAGGAGGAGGAGGAGGTGGAGTTGCAACAGGGAGGAGGAGAAGGAGGTACCGCGAACAAGCCAGGAGAGGTGGGATGGCAGGAGGCAGGTGGGAATGGAGCAGGGAGCGATGATGCCGAAGAGGGCGACGACGACGAGCGAGGGTGGAGGGAGTGCCCCCGGCTCCCCGGGGCGGCCTCCGCCGTCCAGGACGAGAGGAACGCCGCTCCGCGGCCCAGCAGGGCTGCGGCGCGGTCTCCGAGCGTGCCAGGCGCCGCCGCGGGCGGGGCCGCCCGAGGAGGGGCCCACTGCGGCGACGATGCGGGGAACCGAGGTGGGGGCGGACAGACTTCTCCATGAATCGACAAGAAGCATTACGATGTTCCAACCAACTCTCGCCTGGATCACCAGAAAGGGTTTCGAGCGCCAGAGAAAATAACCGAAACTCCATGGTTTTCACGTGGCGGGCCCTGGGAGACACTCGTTCGACGCTGTTTCCACACTCTTTCGACACCTCTTCGGGTGCTCGAAATTCTTGCTGGGATGTGGTCCTCAAGTGCGATGGGAGCAACATAGAAGAAACAACGGCATGGACATGAACTTTCGGAGCTCCGCGAGGATTCCTCGGATCGGGCGCTGGAGCCCCCTGGCGGCGCCTCCAGCGCCTCCCCTGGCGCGGTGCGGCAATCCAAGAAATCCGCGCGGAGCCAAAGTTCATGTTTACGTGATGGCTTGTTACCCACCTGAAGCACAAGGGTCACGAGGGAAACGGGTCCTGAGATGTTTCGCCGTTTCCGTTCTGGTTCGTAGGGCTCTCTGCGAGCCCAAACGATTTAGGTTTTTTCCGGCATTACAACATAATGTTATCCAGCGTGGACCCAAACCATGGTTTCTTGCAATATATGTGGTGCAGTCGAGGTGGTGAAACCTAGGTGGTGAAATCCACGTGGTGCAATCTACCTGGCGCAAAGCGCAGAGCAAAGAGAAGCAACGCACTGCAAAGCAATGCTCGCACGTGCAATTCAAAGCCATGCTAAGCAACGCAGAGGAATGCGACGCAAAAAGCAGTGCGAAGCAACGCAACGCCGTGCAAAGCAACCCGCAGCAGTGCGAGGCAGCGCGGCGCCAGTGGCGGCGTCGGACGGCGGCGACTGGCGGCCACAAGCGGGCCGGACCGGCACGGGGCCGCGGTTGCGGAGGGCGACGGGCGGCGGCGACGGGCGGCGGGCGGCCACGAGCCGGCCGGACCAGCACTGCGGCCCAGCACCGTGTGGGGGCGGCGTGAGAACCACTCAGCGAAAGCATCTTCTGGGAGAGCAGGGGCGGGGGCCGACACCGACCCGTTATAAGTCGGCATCGCTCGGACGTGTGCGTGTTTTTTTCTTCGGCGAGGACCATCGAGGAGCATGCTCGATCATCTGCGCACGAAACCGAAAAAAGCACACGGAATGGACGTCCGAGCGATGGCGAGATGATTGGGGGAGGTGTGGTCCTTTCCCTGCGGAGGCGGGCCATCGGAGCGGCGATCTCTCGAGAGGGGTGTCGAAGCCGACGGGCCCCCCGGGGGGGCGAAAAGCACAGCCCCCCCCCAAGTGTCGGGCCGGGCGAAAGGGGGGGATTGGGAAAGGGGGGGTTACGACGTTTGCGCATGCAGCTGGTTTCGGCCTCACCGAGAGGCCCATTCCTCCATATATAGCCGCCTCCGGCGCCGGGAGGCGCCGGGAAAATCAGCTACGTGAGCTGATTCTCAAACCCTCCCTTTGCTATCCCCCCCTTTCGCCCGACCCGAAAGTGGCGGCTGGTTAGCGGCAGCAGCTCACGGCTGCACGTATGGAGTAACATCCAGTGGAAGGTTGTCCAGAGGGGGCTGTCACTGGGTGGTTCCATTCTGAACAGGGCACGCCGTCGGTGTCGCCGCGGACGTTGTCCACTTGGGGCGAACATCATGTGATCATCAGCGGCAGTTGCCGCTCTGGGGCAGCACTCGCCGTCGGCATCGATGTTTACTGCCCCCGTCTCGGGCGCGCCAAGATGATGCTTGACGTTTTTGTGGCGTGACCTTTGGGGAGCCATTGTGACCACGGCGTAATGCGCTTCGGCTTTCTGCGCACAACGCACGCCAGAAGGAGGGGGTGGAGGTGTTCGGTGGCGAAAGTTGACAGGAGATTATTCGCCCCCCTGCTGTCTGAATGTTCAACATTCGAGAGGAGTACGTCATTCCGCAGGCCCCTAGAAGAGGCGTGGGGAGCCCCCTGTTGTTCCAGTGGTCGATATTCTCTGCCCGCTGGCTGTACCTTGCCATCCTGCGCATCAGAGAAGGCTTTTGCTACACTGCAAAGGCCTTACAGCCGGCTCCGCCGACCCTGAGAACTGAACAGCTGGGGCGCACGAGGCGGAAAGGTGATGGGGGTGAGGGGCACGGGCGGCTTCAATAATTAGGAGGGCGGTCCTCTGATGGTCTTCGGCGCATCCCGCCACCGCGCCACTGCGCCTTGGGGATCCCTTGGGGTCTCTTGTGGACCTCATGGGCGTTGTGGGATCATGTTGGAGGGATAATGCTGCGATGATCGCGCGCTGGGGCCCTTCTCGGGGGCCGCGTGCCCCATCCTGCGCCGGTATTCTGGCCTTTTTTGACGGTCTGCGGCAAGACTGGCAGGACCACACAGGAACCGAAGGCACCTTGGGGGCCTCCAGGGTCTCCCAGACGGCCTGCGAGACTCCCCACGAGTACCGAAGTAGCTCGCAAGAGGACCCCCAAGAGAGGTCTGTAGCTCGAAGGCGCTTTCTCACCCCCAACCCCCGACTTTTCCACGAACAATCAAGCCGCTCAGAAAAGGAGGATATCTCGGTGATATATCCCCCGGGGGGGTTACTCGGACGCACCCGTATCAAGGATGGACGCCCCCCTGACGTATATCCCCGAGTTTGGGCCCCAAAATTGCTGGTCCATTCGAAAACCTTTCGAAGTCTGAGATAAGGTCAGAAGGAGCAAGTAGACACAAACACAAATACACGCCGATGTCCAGGACAACATTGGAAAATCTAGGAAGTGGAGGGGGAGACGAACATCCAGAATATATATATATATATATATAGGAAAAAATGAGGAATCCTGGGATTCGTGTCTTTTTCTTTGTGTATCCCAGGTCCCCTTCAGAGGTTGACATGTCCCTTTGGTAGCAGCGGGCTCATCAGGTTGCTCAAAGGTCGCCAAATTGGCCCCAGGATCGCCTGGGCAACTCCAGTGCAGAGGGGCCCAAGGGAGAGGCGTACTCGCGCACCCCCCGCGGACCGCTCACCAGGCCCCCCCCAAGCGGTCCCCTGACCCTCTGCGGGGAAGGGATCGTCAGGATCGTTTGGACCACCCCGAGCCCCCATCCCCATCCCCATCCCAACCCTCACTCCCCCATCCCCACCCCCACTCACCCCCCAACACCCACGCACCCCCCCCCCCAGAAGGCAACGGCTTATATCCCCATCTGGGGTGGTAACTCGGCCAGTGGTACCCAGGCCACGCCGATGGGGATAGGGGTTAGGTTGAACGATGCTCCGATCAGAGGGAGGGTGCTTCCCTGCGGAACGACCACCACCAAGGTTGGTTCGCCTAGGGTTGGCGAGCTTGGAGAGCCCAAGGTGGCCCCACCACGGAAAGGGGGGGGAGCTTGAGAAGACGTCTCACAGGGCCACCCCAGGATGGCCGCCCCAGGTGGCACGACTCCCACGCGCTCTCCCAAGTGGGCAACGGAAACCCTAGGGCGTCAGGACGCTTCAGGTCTACATCAGGGACGGTGGACGGAACGCTACGACAGTGAGGCGAAACATGCACGATTCAGTTTTCCAATGGAGCATTGGTGACCAACGAATTCAACAACGCCGCCTGCAAGGCACAGTCAGGAGACATTGATGAAGGAGATTACGATTTCAGCCGAGACAGTGTCGATGAGCTCGACGAGCAATTCCACGAGAAAGTCAGAAGGTGATGAATCATTGGGGGAATTCGAAGGGTCACTTTAAGGTAATTGGATGGAGGGATGCCGGAATATCTGCAAGCGGTGCTCTGTGTTTCCAGTGTTACGCTCTTGCGTAGCATGGATTTCGCGTCGAGCCCGACATTCCCAAAAGGATGGCGAGGTAACGGCTCAGCTCGTGCAGTGGACATCTTTCGTAGAGAATGTTGAGGCGCTTGGAGGAACATGTGACGATTGCCAACAGCATTGCTGCATGAGGAGAGCTGCTTGACGATTGGCACCAGTGCTCCTACATCTGTTTATACACATGTATGTATGTATGTATGTATGTATGTATGTATGTATGTATGTATGTATGTATGTATGTATGTATGTATGTATGTGTGTATATATACATATATAGGTGTAGAGAGAGAGAGCGGGAGAGAGAGAGAGAGAGAGAGAGAGAGAGCGAGAGAGAGAGAGAGATAAGAACAAAAAAAAACAAGAGAGAGAGAGAGAGAGCGAGAGACTGAGAGACAGAAAGAGAGAAAGAGAGAGAGAGAGAGTGAGGGAGAGAGAGAGAGAGAGAGAGCGAGAAAGAGAGCAAGCGCGGCAGCAGTGAACGGACGCGGAGCGGGGAAGGAGTCCCGTCGTCGTCGCCGCCGCCGTCGTCCCTTCCCCCCCCTCCCCCTCCGACCACGGCCTGCTCCACGCGGGCCTCCGACCTCCCTCCCCCGCGGGCCCGTGCCGCCTCGCTCTCGGGGCAAGCGCCCGGCCGTGGCCGCGATGGCCTCCCTCCAGGAGGCGGCCCCGCGAGGCGGCAGAAACAGCGTCAGCGTCAGCGTCGTCGCCATCGTCGTCCTCCTCCGCCTGCTGCTCTCTTCCTCCTCCGCTTCCTCTTCCTCGCGGGCCCCCACGCCCCCAAAGGAGGCCAGGGGGGCTTCCCCTCGCACTGTGTGCCAGCAGGGCTCCCAGGGAGCCTTCTGCAGCGCCCCCCCCCCGTAAGGAAGGTATCTTTGCGTAGGTGGCTTGTGTGTTTTCCTGCTTTACCGTCCCCTTCCACTGTCCCTCTCTCTCTCTCTCGCTCCTTCTCTCTCTCTCTCTCTCTCTCCCTCTCTCTCTTTTTTTTTCTCCCTCTCTCTCTCTCTTTCTATCTTTCTGAATTGAATTCTAATTTGATTCCAATTGGATGTCAATAGAAGCGACGGTCCCGTATCAATTGGATTTATTTGGGAATATAACTGAATTCTAATATGATTTCAATAGGAAAAGAGCGGATCCCAGATCCAGAGGATTTCTGATGGATTCTCACTCGATTCCAATAGGGTTTCAATTAAAAGGGACGGATCCCGCATTTAGAGAGTTTAGATTGGAATCTAATTTGATTCTAGTAGGATTTCAATAGGAAGGGATCGGATCCCAGATCCAGAAGTTTTTTCTAGTTGGATTCTGATTAGATTCTAATTAGATTCCAATAGAAATGGGACGGATTCCCCATCCAGAGGATTGGTATTGGAATTTAAGTGGGTTCAAATCTTTTTATTGCAAAAACAAATACACAAGCTGTGTGTTCCAGCTTATGTAAGTACAGTCAATCGTGTGTGTGTGTGTGTGTGTGTGTGTGGTGTGTGTGTGTGGTGTGTGTGTGTGTGGTGTGTGTGTGTGGGGTGTGTGTGGTGTGTGTGTGGTGTGTGTGTGTGTGTGTGTGTGTGCGTGCGTGCGTGCGTGCGTGCGTGCGTGCGTGCGTGCGTGCGTGCGTGCGTGCGTGCGTGCGTGCGTGCGTGCGTGCGTGCGTGCGTGCGTGCGTGCGTGCGTGCGTGCGTGCGTGCGTGCGTGCGTGCGTGCGTGCGTGCGTGCGTGCGTGCGTGTGTGTGTGTGTTTGTCTCTGCTGTTTTTTTATATATTAAAATCAATCAAAACGCTGTGTGTTCCCAGGGTTTTTATTTCAAATCAGGTGACAACGCTGTGCTTTCCAGTTTTTTTCGATGCACAATCAATGCACACGCTGTGTCTTACAGCGCTTCCCGGAGTCCACCCCCGACCCGTCCGAGCCGTGCCCGGCCGCGGCCGCGGAGCGCCTCCGCCGCGGGCGGCCCGCGGAGGGCGCCGGGCGGCGTCCTCGACGGCCGCGTGGCGGCCACGGCCCTCGCGGTCGCGCTCCTCTCGGAGCCCAGACCCCCTCGGGTCATGAAAAAATCACGACGGGAGGTTTTTTGCCATTTTCGGCCTCCGGGGGCCCTCGCCGGGCCTCGGGACCGTCAAAAAACGACTCAGGATGAAAAACCGGTCCCGGGGAAGGGGTCGGGACCTCTGGGGGTCGCGTCATGAAAAAATCATGACGTCGGGGGTCCGGGAGGTTGAGAAGCCTCCCACCCTGAAGTCGGGCCTGTCCCCCTACGGGGGGATTTGGGGCGAAAAATTAAGAACACAGATTCCAACAAATTCAAGCAATGATCCAAACAAAATAGGCAAAAAATGCTCCCCTGACAATTTGTTTTGTCATGCGTTGACTGTTTGGGAGTATGTTGTAGAATTTTTATGGATGCAACTCCTGGGAGGTCAAATTCTGCTTTTGCTCCGAAGTCCGGCTCAATCTGGCTTAGTCCCGCTTAATCTCGCTTAATCCCACTTAATCCAGCTTAGTCCTGCTTAGTCCGAGGCCCAGTCCGGCGTAATAGCGCCTAAATGGAGCTTCATCCTCCTTAATCTTTCCGACGGAAACCTCCCAGTAGATGCCTCCTAAGACCCCGACGCGTCGATTCGCGAATGGGCCGCTTTCGGTTCGCGAGAGGGCGTCGCGGCCATCGATTTTGGGGGTCCAGGTCCGTTGGTTTCGGCCCCAGGCCGTTTTCACCAAAGAGTGGTGTTTACTAACGGGAGGTTTGTCCACCGCCGATCATTGCCTTGACCCTCCACGAGTCATGTCAGGAGGGGAAAAAACACACAGACACAACTAATTGCCGATTTCCCATAAAATATGGGAAAATATGGGAAGTGGGGGGGAAGACAGAAACCCAGAAAATATGGGAAAATATGGGGAATATGTTTATTTGCGTGTATTTATTTGTGTGTCCTGGGGCCCCTTCATCATGGACAGCCCGCGGCGGAAGTGTCTCTCGCTATTTTCGACCTTCGGGGGCCCTCTCCGGGCCGAGGGGCCGTCCGCGAACGACTCGTGATGCAGAGCCGGCCGCAGGTAATCGGTCAAGACTTCTGGTGTTTGGTGGTCGGCATTATGAAAATTCTCGGGCGACGAGATCTATACTTATCCACTGCTCCCTGACCATGACCGTCTTGAACCCAGGAGCTGTGTATGCGCCCTCCTGGCCAAGCCAGGAGGGCGTGGCGTATACACCGCTGCGGGGTTGAGGATGGGCCTGGCCAGGGAGCAGTGGATATGTATAGATTTCGTCGCCCTAAATTCATGACGTCGGGGGTCCGGCCTCTTGATTGGGCGTTTTTCCTAGCTCGAGAATTCCTCCGAGGAGTTGCCTCTTCCTAAACACCGTCCCGAAGAACGAGAACACTGCGTAAACCTGATGACTTTCAGCTCCGCTCGGATTTCTTGGAACGGCGCTGGGCCCCTGGCGGCGCCCCCGGCGCTGCCCCTGGCGTGTTCCGCGCGACAGGGAGGAGGGTCCAGCGCCGATCCAAGAGATCCGCGCGGACGCCGAAAAGCTATGCTTGTGCCGTTCTTCGTTCCTCCGTCGCCGTCCTCGTCGACTCGTCGTCGCCATCCACGATCGGGGCTGATTCGGCTCAAAGGCCCCTCCGTTTGGCCGAATAGTCTTTCGCTGGCCGTTCTTACGAAGACCTTCGCACGGGGCTAGGACGAGGATCACTCCGTCGCAGAGCGTTCCGCAAAAAGCTCCCAGAACTTTCCGAAACGCTCTGGGAAGGCCGCGGCGCCCGAGACTTCCTCCGGAGCCGCCGCATCTCAGATATTCTTTCTAGTCATTCTTACCCGACTGTGTCCGCGTCCCTGGCTTAGTCACGTCTTACAGTCGGGGCGCTGAAGAAGGAACCCTTTCTGTTGGGGAGGGGCTCGGTGTCGCTTGACTGTTTCAAAGTTTGCCTCCGTTTTCCTGAGGCTTCCCATGGGAAATCGAGATTGAACGTGTGAGAACAAGGGCCTCGTTCCTTATTTGGGGTTCCTTAGGTCAACGCCCCGACTGTAACTCCCAGGCCCCGGGAGCTGCTTCCCACTGCTCGTCGTCGCCCCTCCTCCGTCTCTCTCTCGCTCTCTCTCTCTCTCTCTCCCTCCCTCTCTCTCTCTATTTATCTCTCTTTCTATCTTTCTGACTTAAATTCGAATTAGATTCCAATTGGATTTCAATAGAAATGCGACGGTTTCGTATCTCCCAGGCCCCAGGAGTTGCTTCCCACTGCTCGTCGTCGCCCCTCCTCGGTCGGCGGCAGCCCGCGCGCGAGCGCGCAGGCAGCCCGTGGAGCCCCCACAGCTCCGCGGGCTCCTCCGCGGCGGGCCCGCGGGAGCCGAGCTCGAGGATCGCGGGGGGGGGGGGGGGGAGGGGGAGGAGGAGGAGGACCACGAGGAGGAGGACGAGCAGGACGGGAAGGAGGAGGAGGAGGGCGACGAGGACGAGGAAGAGCGGGAGGAGGAGGAGGGGGAGGACCAGAGCAAACCAGAGATGCATCAACGGTGCTGCAGCACGGGGGCTCGGGGGCGGCGGTCAGTCAGGAGGGGAAAGAACACACAGACACAAATCATCGTCGAGTCCCCAGAAGATATGGGAAGATATGGGAGGATGGGGGGAAGACAGAGACCCAGGAAATATGGGGAAATAAGGGGATTCCTTTTATTTGTGTGCATTTATTTGTGTGTCCCAGGGCCCCTTCAGTCAGGGACGACGTCGGGCCCAGAGCATGAGACACCGAAGTTTTGTCGGTCGCAATCGGCAGCGATGGATCGGCAGCTCAAGTCGGTCGCGACCGATCGCGACTGGTCGGTCGGGACCGGTTTTGACGCAAAGCGGTCGTGGCCGATCCCGGAATTGGAAGCAAAACCGGAAGCGAGCGATCTCGGCCACGACTGCTGCAGAATTCCAGTATCCAATGATCAGGGGAGGGATCGGCTGCAGGGGGATTGGAGCCGGCTGTGGGTCTGAGGTGGCCCAGCATTGTTTCTGGCGTGCAGGAAGGGGGGGAGAGCGAGCTTCGAGGTAATGTGTTCGACAAGGTATTCTATTCCCCACATCCAAATTGGGGTTCTTGTTTTCTCTGGACCCCCTGCGCAGGAACATGACGGAAGGACCCCCCCTCTCTTTTCGTTCACACATTCGCACATTCACATCATCATCGCAGCATGAGCATCATTTACACACTCACACTCACTCACACGCACTCGACCACTCTCATTCACTCAGTCACACTCACTCACTTATCCTGAGTAGCTCACTCACTCACTCACTCACAACTACTACTCATCACTCATCACTCATTAATCATCATCATCATCATCATCATCATCATCATCATCATCATCATCATCATCATCATCATTATCAGTATCATTATCATCATCATCATCATCATCATCATCATCATCATCATCATCATCATCATCATCATCATCATCATCATCATCATATCATCAGGAAAACAGCACCACCGTCACCATCATCATTACCGCACACACTCACTCAAACACCCACACACTCAGCTTGAGGAGGTCTCGGGCGGGAGCCTCGTCTGTGAGTCAATTGCGAGGAAGTCTCAGGCGGGAGCCCCCTCTCTATGGGGCCCGCACTTCATGTTCGAATCCGAGGCGGGTCATCGGCCTCCTAGAATTCTCGTCACTTTTGGGCTCCTGAGGCCTGAATATGGAGAAATTGTCAGGCGGGAGCCTTGTCTGTGAGTGAATTGCGAGGAGGTCTCAGGCGGGAGCTCCCTCCCTATGGGGCCCGCCATTCATGTTCGAATCCGAGCGGGTCATCGGCCTCCTGTCACCGTCGTCACTTTTAGCTCCTGAGGCGAGAACTTGGAGGAATTATCAGGCGGGAGCCTAGTCCGAGTGAATCGTGAGGGAGTCTCAGGCGGTAGCCCCCTCGGGGCCCGCACTTCCTGTTCGAATCCGAGGCAGGTCATCGGCATCATTTATCTGTCGTCATTTTTGGACTCCTGAGGCCTGAATATGGAGGAAGTATCAGGCGGGAGCCTCGTCTGTGAGTGAATTGCGAGGAAGTCTCAAGGCGGGAGCCCCCTCTCTATGAGGCCCGCACTTCATGTTCGAATCCGAGGCGGGTCATTGGCGTCCTTTAACTGTCGTCACGTTTGGGCTCCTGAGGCCTGAATATGGAGAAAGTATTTGGCGGGAGCCTCGTCCGAGTGAATTGCGGGAGGCCCCCTCCCTATGGGGCCCGCACTTCATGTTCGCATCCGAGGCGGATCATCGGCCTATTGTGACCGTCGTCATTTGTGGACTCTTGAGGCTTGACTATGTAGGAAGTATACGACGGGAGCCTCGTCTGTGAGTGAATTGCGAGGAAGTCTCAGGCGGGAGCCCCCTCCCTATGGGGCCCGCGGCGCGCGCTTCCTCTGGGTCGTCTTCCAGTGCGCAGCCGCTGGGACGCACGTCGTACGTTTCTTCGTTTCCTCTAGGTCCTATTCCTCACGAGGAAGAGGAGGAGGAAGAGGAGGAAGAGGAGGAGGAGGAGGAGGAGGAGGAGGAGGATGTAGGACGAGAAAGAGAAGGAGGAAGAGGAGGAGGAGGAGGAGGCAGAGGGGAACAGGACGATGTTGATGATGATGATGATGAGGAGGAGGAGGAGGAGGAGGCGGAGGAGGAGGAGGAGAAATGCCCTAGGAGGCGCCAGGAGGTCCCGGGAGGCCCAGAAGGCTCCAGGAGGCGCCAAGAGGCCCCGGGAGACCCCAGGAGGAGGCAGGAGGCCTAAGGAGGAGAAGGAGGAGGAGGAGGAGGAGGAGGAGGAGCAGGAGCAGGAGGAGGAGGAAGATGGAGACGAGGAGGAGGAGGAGGAGGCAGAGGAGGGAGAGGGAGAGGAGGAGGAGGGAGAGGGGAGGAGGAGGAGGAGGAGGAGGAGGAGGAGGAGGAGGAGGAGGAGGAGACGACGACGAGGACGAGGACGAGGACGAGGAGGAGGAGGAGGAGGAGGAGGAGGAGGGAGGAGATGGAGAGGGAACATGAGGAGGAAAAGGAGGAGGAGGTGGTGGAGGAGGAAGCAAGAGGTGGTGGAGGAGGAAGCAAGAGGAGGAGGAGGAGGAGGAGGAGGAGGAGGAGGAGGAGGAGGAGGCAGGGGTTGAGGCAGGAGGAGGAGCAGGCATGAGGAGAAGGAGGAGGCAGGAGTAGGTGGGAGAAGGGAGGGGGCAGGAGGAGACCCCCAGGCAAGTTAAACATGTTCTCATGTGGGGTCTTACCGTCGGAGTACTTTGCTCTGCCTCAGGGGGCCGTTTTCGGGACCCAGGGCCATCAGAAACGGATCCGAGGTGAACAAATCCGCCAGATTCTTTTTGGGAGGGGTCTGGGGACCGATTTCGAATGGATTTGGCTTCATCTCCCCTCCTTGCCCATTTCTGGGGCCCCAACTGGTTCAGGCTCTCCGGCCGCCTCCAACAGTGGGGACGAACTTTTGAGGTCCCGAACGGCCATCGGAGAGCCGAGTCGTGACCCCCAAACTAGATGTCAACGGCACCGTAACGGGTACTTACTAACGGGTACTTTGAATTTTTGCCGAAAGTTGCCACTTTAGGGCCTTTCTCTTGCATTGCAGTTTTGCCCACATCGGGAAGGGTTGGGTTCGCTGGGTCACTGGCCAAAGTACCCGTTAGTGGAGTCCCCGTTTGAGGGGCGCTGAAGATGGCATCGTCAGGGGTGTATCGGCTCCAGGAGGGGATACGTCGGCCCACAATGGCCCACCGATCGCCGAGCTATCGCCGATATTCCAGGTCGAGGCTTCCTCCCTGAGCCAGTCGCCTAACGGTGCCCCGCAGGCGGTGGGGCGGAGGCTTGGCTAACTGCGAGGATGCCCCGTTCAGAGGCAGCGTTGGCCTCGGTGGAAGAACAAATGCCAAGACCGCGACCCCTCCCTCGTCGCCAAGGCCCCCGTCGCCACGGCGAGAGAGATGGACCAGAACGCACCCTGGGAGGGGTCTTGGGAGCAGCGGCATGGGTATTTTTTGTTGTTCCGTTGGCCGGGAGTGTAATACAATATCAATGGCACGCTGGCGTTGAGAGCCCGTCTGCGTGTTGCTCCTTCGCGGTTTGCCCGAAGGCCTGGCGTTCTCTTGCACGGTCGTGCGTTGACGGGTTCACAACACGGTAGTCTGTCACTGATATTGCTTTTGCTCCTCGGGATCGAGGTTCGAGGTTTTCGAACGTTTCTGTCGGTTCTCGTTTGTGTTCCAGCCTCCAGCGGTCGCGCCTCGCCGAAGGCGTTCCAGGGGGTCTGAGATCGTCCCGAACGGCCGCCGGAAAGCCGAGTTGTGGCTCAAAAGCCAGGGGGCCATTTCAGGCGGGATGGGTTCGGAGGAAATGCGTCGACCCCCATTCGTCCGTTCATCGCGTGTAGGGGCCTGAGCCCACCCCGCCCAGAAGCATACGATTTCGCTATCGAGATCTTATCTCGACGAGCCGAAATCCTTCACATCAGTAATTTTGGGTCTCGGAGCCCACAGGGCGGTTTTTCATGTTTTCCATTCGACGTTCCATGAAGCCCGATGTCATTCCGAGGCCGCGCGTCGAACGTTTTCGATGGCGCGTCGCGTTATGCGATGTCACGTGCGTTGGGGTCGTCAAAGGCTTGCGTGCTTGTTGCGGATCGGTTGATGTGGGCTGGGGTTTCTCAGGATTGTACACTTGCTTTGCGCTGGGGCGGTTTCGACCCCCATCCCTGGCTGATCCACCCCGCGGGTAACGTCGCAGGAAGAGTTCGATCATTTCGTTCGTAGTGCCAGCGATGCTGTCGCGGACATTGACCGCGCCACGGGGGGGGTCGTCCAGAAATTTCCTACCATATTGCAGTGTTGGTTCTTCGTTTTGAAGAGACACCGCCCCGCGTCATTCCTTCCGGCCCCCTCCCTCGTCCTCCCTCTTCGCGTATCTGCCCCTGCTCTCCGCGTGTCTCCGTCGTCATCGTCCATCGTCATCGTCGCCATCACCATCATCATCAGCATCATCAGCATTCTCGCCGTCTCCATCATCAATACCACCACCATCCTCATCAACATCATCAAAACACCCCCCTTGTTCCCCCGCGTCTCTGCTTCGCCACATCCCCTGCAAGTCTCGTGGCCTTGTGAGGTGCCCCACCGAAGGCCCCATCGGCAGGGTCCTTAGTGCGCCGCCCAGCCCATGTCAGCACGCCCCTCAGACGCTTCGTGTCCCCATGAGGAGCTCATCGGAGGTCCCGGCGGCAAGGTCCACATGCCGTCGCCCAGGCCACATTGATGACACCCTCAAACATTTCGTGCCCCTATAGGCAGCTCCACCAAAAAAAGGTCCCAGCGGCAGGTTTCCCAGGCCGCCGCCCAG